ATCTTTTTTTATGTTAGTGGGAAATAATAAAATAGATAACATTTACTACTAACTTTTTTATTTTTTTTTTTATTTTTAATAAAAAAAAAATTAATATAAAAAAATAAAAAAAAAAAAAATTTTTTTAATTTTTTTTTTTTTTATTTATTTTTTTTTTTTTTTTTTTTTTAAAAAAAAAAAAAAAAAAATAAAAAAAAAAAAAAAAAAAAAAAAATTAAATATTTTTTTAAAAAAAAAATTAAAAAAAAAAATTTTAATTTAAAAAAAAAAAAAAAAAAAAAAAAAAAAAATTAAAAAAAATAAAAAAAAAAAAAAAAAAAAATTTTAAATTTAAAAAAATAAAAAAAAAAAAAAAAAAAAAAAAAAAAAAAAAAAAAAAAAAAAAAAAAAAAAAAAAAAAAAAAAATAAAAAAAAAAAAAAAAAAAAAAAAAAAAAAAAAATTTTTTTATTAAAAAATTAAAAATTTTAATTTAAATAAAAAATAAAAATTAAAAATAAAAAAAAAAAAAATTTTTAAAATTTAAAAAAATAAAAAATTTAAAAATTAAAAAAAAAAAAAATAAAAAAAAATTTTTATTTTAAATATGTTTAATCATTCGAACTTCCTTTTTTTCTTTTAGTAAGAGTTATATTCTAAGTACCCCACGTTAAAAACAAAAATGGACGCAGTTGTCTTTACCATCAAAGAAGATAATCTTTAAAAATATAAAATTGTGCTAAAATTACTAGCCTAACATCACAGGAAGCAAAAGCAAAAATAAAGGCAGAAGCTCGAAAAAATGTTAAATTAAAAATATACAAAAATAGGTACATATATTAAACATTTTCATCAAATTATGAACTTATGATTTGCGAGCTTCCGAATTCGTGAAACAATTTAAGCGTAAGGCCAAGCGGCCTCCGGTGCGTATGTGTTATATGTGTGATTACTTCAGAAAAGTACAGCTCAAATCTCTTTTAGCAAACCCATAGGCCCTTGCTACTTTTCTTAGGGTACTTATTCAGTGTAGGGCTTCCTCTTTGAACTTCAATTGGCAGTGACATTGCGGACAAGCTAACGCATCTTTCAGAAACCAAAGACTATATCCCCAAAACTCTCTCTCTCTCTCCGCAATTACCAACCTCTCTGTCTGCGGAGAGAAAATGGACTGTTATCTACAGGCCCCAATGCAATGGAGAGCAGGGAATTACATGAGATATACTATATACAGAGAGAGGTGTTCCGTTTACCAACCGTTTCCAAGTGCTTTTGGCATCCACAGCACGCGCTTGACTTTCAGTTCTCGTTTGAACAGCTTCGCGTTCGGTTCTCCACGAAGCCCCAGCGCAAAAAAAAAGGTCTCCACCTCCGTCTCCAACTGAACCAATATACCTCCTATTCCTGTTCCCCCGCAAAAACCCTAGGCTTCAGGCCAATTACCGACAGCTGTAAACGTTTGCATTCGACCTGGCTAAAACGTGTTAAAATCACTTAAAAAATGGCGTGCGGGCGAAAGCGTTGCCAACGCGCAAGTGTTTGAACGTAATTCGTACCAAAATCGGGAAAAACAAAAGGAAAAGAAGAAGAAACCACTTTTGTAACGCTTCAGCTTCAGCCGAAATTCATCTCGCGTCGGTATCTGGGGACCAAGCATCGGCTAAAAAACCAGTTTTCCTCCTCTAGGCTCTCTGGGCAAAATAAATACGAAACAAAATAACAATCTTCAACGCACCGCACCGCATCCATCGCATCCACATCCACATCCATTCTGTAACTCTGGCCCTGAGATGCCGAACTTAAAGATTTTGTGATTTCGGCTTCGGGCCAAAACGACAGGCGATGATTCATAGTAATGGGCTAAGAAAAAATACAAATATGGCCAGCAGATGTGCTCTACATCTTCACTTTTATCCTACTCCTTGGGAGCCCATTTGGCAGAAATTCAAATTCGGTTTCACTCGAAATTCTTCTCTCTGCGCCTCTTTCTTCGTTGGCAGAGTCTTCGCTGCACATTCTATAAATATGTAGAAATATGTAAAATAGCTGTCGCTGTGCCGGCAACCAAAATACACCAAACAACACAAGAAATGGCGAAAAAAAGATGGTCAAACGAAAGCGAAACTGCAAGGGAAACGCATTGGGAGAGGAGGAAGTCGACGAAGGGCAAAGACGGGGACCAGCTGCTGGACGGGGGAAAATGGGAAATGCAAACAAAAACGCTGAATGGAAAACAAATTTTCTATACTTGTTTTTATTTACACTAGAGTAGGCAAAAAAAAACTGTGATGAAAAAAACAGAAAAGTTTCTTGAATTCCGTTTGGGATCCCGATTTCCAAAAAGCGTTCTACGGATGGAAGACAGCTGCATCTGTCCCCCTTCCACACCCTCGCACACAAGTGCATCGGTGGTGTTCGCCCGTGTGTGTGTAAACTTTCAGCGCAATGTAAATAAACAAAGCGCCAAAGACAAAAACAACAACAATTGAGGGGCATTGATTTAAAGAGAACCCAACAGACAGAAGAGGAAGAATAGGGACTAACAAAAAACGAGACAAAAAAGTTAACTTCTACTGAACCGAAGATTAAATACCCTTTAAAGGTTCAATAAGGGTTTTTAAATATTTAACAATAATGTTTAAAAAATAGGCAAAACTATAGCAAATTCTGTTGTAATAACTATGTAATTATACCATATTTTTCCAGTTCTCTTCTATAAAAGCAATTAAATTTAATTGTTTTTGATATGGCTAATTAATCTGCGAATAAAGAAGATTGAGATCGTTCAAGCTCATCAAATCACATTTGTACAATGTTTATACACATATTGAAAATATTAATTTATACTAGTTGGGATCTTAAAACAATAAAGCCCTCTCCCAGTGTATATAAAAAAGAACCCAGTTGGCACCTTCTCTTTTTCTTTGATTTTCTAATTGATAAACAGACTCGAGGGGCGGTAAATACAGTTTAGAGATAGTTAAAGGGGACTTTCGACGACGCGTCGTAGGTGTCAACGAGTGTAAGTACACATACATATATGGTCGTATATCTGAGGTGTCGTCTATTCAGATGAGATGACACCCCATAATATAGTGGTTGGGAAAAACTTTGTTACACAAGTGAGTGCGGAAACTGTCGTTCATTAGGGAGCTTTTGTTCAGGAATACTAAGTGAGGCAGGGAAAATAAAGGAATCTAAAGAGAACATACAAATAAAAGAATATAACACGAAAATTCCTTGTCTTTTCCAAACAATTGTTATAGTGAAAATAGGAAATACAAAAATGTAATGCCCCAAAAAGATATTTTGCCCCAAATTTGATAAACTTTTGCAATAATGTAAAAAAGTCATTATAAATGTTACTTTCCCATCAAATGAGTGTCAAAAAGAGAATCCCTAAGTCGACTGTTGTCCAAGCAAATATTGCGAAAATTTCAAAGATTTTTTGCAAATGCATCAGCGATGGATTATGATCATCAGGCATTGCAAAATTGTTTGTTTTATGAGTCGGTCGCATAAACAAATTTGTGTACCGTTTATGTGTCTACGCAAATTATTGTTTGTATGGGTGAGCTATGCCATTTGCAAACGGCTTTTATATTAACAGCCTAAATTTTGTCGATTGGTGTATTTTGGTGTATTTTTGTGTACTTTTTTCTATATCGGTTTTTCGTGCTGTACAGTTTTTCGCATTTGCACATTAATTTATTTATATGCATAAACATTTGCATGCTATTCGACTTGGCACACCCTGACCCAACAGAACCCCCCAGAGCCCCCACTTCGACCCAGTTTACTGGCCGGTTGGCATTGAGTCAGCCCCAAAAGAGAAATATACAGTCGAACTTCCTTAAATTTTACGAATTTTAGATCTTTTTAGATTCAAGTTTAAGATTGTTCAAATAATATATTTTTTACTACTGTTTTATTTAAAGTTTGAACGAGTGAAGGAGACGTTTGACCCATAAAGTATATATATTCTACGCATCACTGACGGTACTAGATGTCCGTCTGTCCGTCGACCTCTGTCCGTCTGTCCGTCTGTCCGTCTGTCTTTTCTACGCAACTGTTCTCGTTTTTGAGCTATCGGGATGAAATTTTCCCAAAAATTTTTTTTTTTTTGTAGGTATAATATATGTCGAAACAAACCGGAAGAAATATATATTATACCTCCCAAAGAAAAGGAAAAGAAACATTATTTTGGATTTTTAAATATTTCTGAATTTCGAATTAAATATTTAAAAAATATTTAAATATAAAAAAATCTTTTTTTTTTTATATGTTTATTTTGATAAAATCGGACGACTATATCATATAGCTGCCATGAACGATCAATAGTTAATGAAATTAATTGAACATTTGATTTGTTAATTAATAGTTTGTGGCTTTTTCTTGTTTTTTTTCAAATATTCAAATCGCTTAAAATTGAGGTCCTATAAATGTAAAATTTTACAAATTTAATTTAAGAAATAGAAGCAATAAAATGTAAACTTAAAGTTATCCCTAAAGAACATTTACTGTACCGAGAGCGAGGGACTCGATGTGAGTTGTAAATTAGCCAGCGACAGCAGCAGTGGCGAAAACTCGCAAATGGCGATTTTTCGCATAGAGATCATAATATCTTCGAGATACAACTTATCGGCGGAGAGCAAATTGCGACAAGATACAACTCACGGCTTGCATAACATAACGCGGCCAAGCGAGTGAGCAATGTTTACAGATCGGTCGAATATTTTCGTATTACCCCGCTGCCATATGTTTAATTTTTTTTTTTGCGTCAAAAAAATCGTTTGTAGTGCGCGCTTTTCCTTGCATTTGGCCCAAGCCAATTAGAAGTTTCCGGTCCGCGGCGCAACTCGCATACAAAATCCACAAAATAAACGATAAGCGAAATTAAGAAATCATAAAACCAAAAAATAAATTGTAAACGTTTTTCGGCGGTTTTTGCGGCTCCCGTTTGGGAGTATCATAATGGGTCTAGCAAATTAATTGAGTACCAACCAAACATATTAATTGCAGTTAACGACCTACCTCCGACAGCTCCGAACCAAATTCAAATCGATAAACAAACTCACCAAAATCAAGACAGAAAAAACCAATCATGATCAGAGCGAAAGATTCGACGTGGTTGCTGCTCATTTGTCTGCTAATTGGACAACTATACGGTAAGTCAAGTACTCAATGTAATGGTCTATAAAAACAAAGAACTAATTTGAAATAACACGATTTGATTTCTGAGTTGATTGCCACCGAAGTGGCTTTTATCATGAGCTTCGAAAGGGGGAATTCCGGAAAAATCTCGGAGTTGAAAGTTGGAGAGAGTTGTAATGAATGTGTAATATTTTTATGGCTGCTTGTAAAGATAAGGAGATTGGAAAGTGCATCAGAAGAGGCAATGATAGTCTTCATAAAACTTGGGATTTAAGAATTAGGTTAAACTTCACTTGGGATGGAAAGATCTTCCTTTTTTTGTGGGTCAATAAAGCACAATGAGAAATAACCCTATCAGAATGAGAAAAATCCCTTTAAACTGGCATTTCCAGAACTTCATTTGAATGTTCATATGATGTCAAAGTGATGACTGTTCTTTGGCTCAATCAGTTTACGTAATATTCCAAATATTATGAATTACCGAATATCGTACAGAAATAAATATGAGCAACGTTACCCTAGATATGACGCTTGCTTTCATACGTATGTGCTCCATACTCGTACTCCCGAGAAAGCTCCAGATACGCTCGGTTATTGTTATAGGTATATAGGTGTGAGCCACGTGCGTATGGCCTTATCTTTTGCGTAAATTGAACACATACTAGGGCGAAATGTAGGTGCCAGTGGAAAAAACAAGCATATCTTATCGCTTGGGAGAGCGGCAAACACTTATCTCTGCTCGGAAAGTTAAATTTCATTCGCTTTTGGAATTATGGCGCAAATTGCTGATAACGTGCCACATTCCATTTCACGTAGCTCGGGATGTCTGTGCCCGTTGGCTTGAAAACCCTCCCACTCCCTCAACACTTTCCTCATTTTACCGTCTTTTTTCCGGGTACCATGTGTTCTGGAATACGAATAAAAAAGAATATCGCCCAACGAGCAGAATAAATATTTGCCATGCACGAACGCTGTGCAAAGAATGGCATTTTGATGTTGAATATTTGCTCGCCAACTTCTCCTATGTGTTTGTGAAACGCCCCCTGAATTTCCGATGTAATCAGATGTCCCGGGGCATAGGCCATTATATGTATTTCAATATTTATGGATAGACATACACATATATTTGGCTTTTTAATTAACAATGAATTTCGGCCAATTTTAGGCATGAGATAAGGCGGCGTATATAAAAAACCATTAAAAAACCAACTGAAACGCACATGCTGTTGGGAATTTGGAGCCTTGCCTTCTCATGTATCAAAGTGCTAGCTGCTGAAAACTATTCAAGTCTGTTTGGCCCACAAAAACAACTTGTTCAAGTCAATTTGTACAATATTTCATAATACTCCCAGCGACCAAACAAGAATATTTGTTTGTATGCCTTAAATTCTTTTTCACTTTTCAGTTGCCAAACCGAAGTTGATAAAGTCTTGGCCCTAATGGAAATTCGGTTTATTTATTCAGAAAACAACGAGTCAAGGTCTTTGGGGGATATAATAAAATAGTATTCCTGGAATCGACGATTAAGTGTTTGCTTTTACATACCCATGCATTTATTCATAAGTGCTTGGCTGACTTTTAGGAGCTTTTATTCGGTATTTTCCGAATAATACCGAAGCGAAAATGATCAAATAACGCATTCGCAGGCATCCGCAACATTCGTTTTCCAAAAATAAAGATCGCATAATAAATCAATGATTTGATCAATCAAAATGTTCCAGAGGGTGTGGACAGAATGCCCATGCCCCACCCATGGCTTCCAAAAGGCGGGAAGTCGATTTGCCGATTCAATTGATTTCAATTTAATTTTCCATTTATTATGTGTTTGTTTTTTGGCGTCTGTTTTATAGCGCCTTATTTTGTGTCTCTATGCAAATTCATGGAATTAAGTTATGTATACAGTGGGCACTGGGCACCTCAATGTTGAATTTGGGTTGCGGAAAAATTGTTTGATCTATTTAGCTAGCAAATACTTTTTATTCGCTTTTTAACATGTCGAATTTGAAATAACCCGCTGACTATAAATATTTTAGTCTATTTTCTAATGCAGATAAAGTTGTTACCCAAGCTGTAAATTTTCCAAAATTAAATAAAAAATAAAAACAGAATCTTTTATTATTTTATCAGAAAAAAATATCTTAATAAATATTTAAAGTTATCCCATTTTTGGAGTTTTTCATCTCGAAAGTTACTTTAAAAAAGTATAACTTCTAATAACAAAAGAAATTCGATATATGGAAATTTGCCTGTACATCTATCAAGAATTCCCTCACTCTCCCATTTGGAACTCACCCAGATCTGGGCACTTTTACGACCCCCATCACAATCTGACTGCTCCATCGACTTTTTAGACTTAGACATGACATGTCGATTAAGGAATGTTCCCCTCTTCTGTCGACTCGGCAAAATCTGGCCGCTGTTTCCTTTTCGAGATTTCGAAAATATTGTGCATTTGGGTTTAGCGAGCGGCGAGTAGTTGCCATCATTTATTTATACACATTTCATTGAGTCAGCAGACTTTGGCGAGGATGTCGATGTGGGCCACTGTAGATTTGTTTACTTATGAACTGACCTCATAACTCATCCCCGTCTGTATGCGATCTCTCGCCCGACTATTGACCATATGCGGGACCTGGAAATCGAAGCAACGGTGCGATCATGAAATAGCAATCAGCCAATTTGCTAACGAAAATCTTGAACTGAATCTTGAATGGAAGTTATCAATGGTCCGTCGAGACTACAGACCTGTGCGACCTTCCTGATACGAGTGGAGTGCTACATGGCGCCTAGTCCCAGGAATGCTCGTGAACGAGGCTTACGTACTAAATATGTGACTATATTTACTTGGAATCTGGGGCAAAGTAATGAAGAAGTATAATTGCCTAGCCAAGGAAAAAGGCAAATGCGATTCTATGTAAAGTTGTTAACAAGTCAATTAAAGAAGTCTCAAAGTCATTAAAACATTATTGGCGCGCTTGACAACTTTACATTAATTACAATTTTAATGGAATTTGTGTGCATATATATTTTTTTTAAATATTTATAACCTTTGGGTACTCTTTTAAGTTAAATCCTTTTCCTCTAGTTTGTTTTAAATGCAATATTGTCATAATCAAAAGCCTTATGGATGTAAAATTCTAGAACAAGACCCCATCACATTTCAACTAGATAATTGCAATTTCAAAATTCAAAGTAGTACAATTTCCCTGGATGCTTTGCACATGACTTCATCTGTCAAGGAATGCAAAGTCATCAAAGTTGGCCTCAGGAATTGAGTGGATTGCGACAAATTCCCTGGGACGTCCCGCCCAATGCCAATGCAGGCCACAAATGGCCATTGTGTATAGCATTGAACTCGAGTTTAAAGACAAAGGAGTGGCAGGACGACGGAGAGAGAGAGAGTCTGGAAGAGAAACTGGCGCCGCGACATCCTGTCGCCATTGTTCGGAACCACTTGGAACGATTGCACTGGGAGTCGAAGGGAGTGGGGGTCTGAGCACATCATCCATACGGATGAACTTAAGCTGAGTGGTTGTTGTTGATGTTGCCGGGGAGCTGTTTTTTATTTGCAACCCCCGACATCCCGACAACATCCATCCAAGGACAACGCACGCCCAGGGGGCGCTGGATGACGCATGTGGCCCCCTGACTTCTGCCGCCGACTGACCTACTTGCAGACAACAATTGCGTGGAGTCTCGTGGCTCTCGGGAAGCCACTGTTTCCATGGCCCCACAACCTTGACACAGGCCCAAGATTGCAGTTGCAGTTGCAGCTTCCCCAATCACCAATCCAATTCAAGAGCAAACCAGATCGCCGAAGGTCCCCCAGCCATTAAGTTTTTCATTCCATCCAAGCCAAGTGGCCCATGCCATAAAAGGGGCGTCTGACTGCGTGGACGAGCGGATATAAGGAGAGGCCATTGGATAAGATAACTGGCTCCGTCTTTGGATCGAGTGTGTAGTATCTACCTTAAAAAGCTTTTATCGGCCATTGATAACGAGTTTAAGCGACTTGCGTAATCCCGGCAATATCCATCAAAGCCTTATGCGATGGCCGTGATGAAGTTGGTCATGAGTCATGAGTCAGTCATTCGGCTATTAGACGATAGATGACAAGCGAGTTACAGGCCGCATATGGCATGCAAATTGTTATGGCTAATACATAAAAAATGGCGGTTGAACGAAATTACTCATTCAATTTGCATAATTTCGTACCTTTCTTTCGGGCCGAGTCATAATTCAAATATAGAGAATAATAATGAAGATGGCTAGACCCAAACCTCTTTGACTGTACCTGACTTTATGGTCTGCGCTAATTTACCTAGAGCTTAGGACGTATCTTCTCATATCTGCTTTGTTATTTGCCCGAAGATTTATTACTAAGGTAATGGAAATGTTTTATAGAGATGGGCAAAGCAAACTGAATTCTTTGAGGTATACTCTAGGGGGCTTTTTTTCGATCAGTTCTTTGCATGGGCTGCAAAGACTAAAACCAAACAGTAATAGTAATCAGTAATCAAGTGTTAGTATCTGCAAATATGCTTTGCGGTATCTCCCCTAGTTCCTGTTGAAAACTCATTTCCGTTTCAGAACTTCACTCTCGCATAAACGAGTTCTTTGTACGGCGACCCTTTGATTGGAAGCAGAAGTTGCTCTGGATGTTGTGTGATTTTTATCAGTTCCAATTAAGTCTGGAACCACTTTGGGTGACTCACAGATGCACCTTGCCTAAACCAAAAATAATGACGCAATGATCTAATATTTATTCAATTCGTTCTGAAAAATAGCTTGCTTTTTATAGTGAAATTTTTAGTTTTTATAATGGGATAGTACCTATTATTCAGTTTTTCTAATATTATAACTCATTTTTCAGTGAGTTGCAATGGATCGCCCGTGGATACGGATGAAAAGGATAAAGAATATCAGGAAGATGATTACGAGTATGACGAAGGTACTGATGACACCGATGACTTCGATGTTACAAAAGACGTAAATGACCAGTTGGCGCCGCCTTATTTTGAGGAAACTGATCTGCGAATTGACGCCAAACCGGGCGATGATGTGATCCTCAACTGCGATGCAAGGAACTTCCAGCGTGAGTTATATATAGTTCCCAACGTAGTAAAACTCTACATAATATTTCATCCCCACAGTTAGCAATGCGGTGATGTGGTACAAGAACCGGACAATAATTGCGAATGGCCAGAACTCGATTAGCCAGCGCGTGGAGGGCATGGCGAACAACTCGATACTGCTGAGGAATGTGACGCCGGAGGACTCGGATGATTACTATTGCGAAATTCTGCCCCAGAGGGTTCGACAGCACACGGCACTGCGGGTGGGCGCCCGGCTGTCGATCCTCTGCGACGATCGCGATATTACGGATCGATCGCAGACGTTCAGGCAGGGCGACCACCACAAGCTCGAGTGTCGAACGTATCTGCCCGGCAATCCCATTATCAAGTGGTCCTTTAATGTATGTTTTTTTTGTTCTAAAAGACGCCCCACTCATTACCCATTCATTACCTATCCCCGGTATCCTCCGCCCTCCCAAATGTCTTATAGGATCTTAACGGACAACCCTCTCCAGTGGATAACCAGAATGGCGTGATCATTCTGGACAACGTGGACGAAAAGGACGCGGGTGACTACCAGTGTTTGGCCGACGATGGCAGTCGCCATCCTCCCCACGGCACCGTTCACATCGATGTCCAGTACAGTCCCATTGTCTCCACCCATCGGCACAATGTGAACACCGAGAAGGGCGCCACCGCCGAGCTGTATTGCAACTATCGGGCCAAGCCCATTGGCAGGAGTTACTTCATCAAGGACGGCAAGACCCTGCAGCTCTCCGACAAGTACTCGCTCAAGGATTCCGTGCACAACGGTCACAATCGCACCACCCTGATCGTCCGCGAGGTGATGGACAGCGATCTGGGCGAGTACCTGTGCCAGGTGGAGAATGCCATCGGGTCCAACGAGGTGAAGGTGCATGTCAGCTACAACCCGGAGACCCCACAGTTCGAGGACATGTCGGTGGAGGGCAACCAGGTCACATTGCACTGGCTGGTCAGGAGTCGACAGCCCCTCTCCGAGGCCATGCTGGATTACCAAGTAACTGGGGTAGGTGGTTTAGTATCTTAAGAGAGAGAAAGGCTCTTTAAGAACTTGGTCCTCCCAAAATAATGGTTCCTATTTTATTAATTAGATTGCCATTAAGGCAACTATTTATTTGAAGTTCACTTACTCACTCTATTTTTATTATTTATCATCATCGTTTCGCTTTTTGATTCTGAGCAGTAATTTAACATTTTCAAATGTCTTCCATTTGAGGCCTAGTACTCACTTCAATCGAAAAGCCTACGAAATGAAAATCTCCTTACAAAATTTTGATCACGAAACTTTCCGCCTGTCATTTTTGTATAGAAATTTTTGATTCGTTGCCTTTTTGATTATAGGCTTAAAATCAATGATAGAAAGCAAAGAAAAATGTAAGAATGATCTAAAAATCAGTATATTTATTTTTTATGAACTAAAAAGGCTTTAAGAATGTCTAACTAAATAATTGAAGCCAAAACGCTTAAGTTTGGTATCGTAAATAGAGGTTAGCTAATCGGAATCATCTGCATTTCAGTCCCTCCATTGGAGCACTGTTTCCGTGCTGCAGACCCATCGCCACAATAGTACGGAGAACATCTGGAAGATCACCCATCAGCTGGAGTTGCAACGCGGAGTGTGGCATGCTCGCGTGAAGACGAAGAACACCCACGGATGGTCGCACTTTTCGAACGATCACGTCTTCGAAATCCGCGACGATTCCGATACCGAGAGAGATGAAGGTGCGTACGCTGCAGTAAATAGTTTTCAAGATATCTAATTTTCCCCCATAACTAGAAATAGAAGTAGATCAGTCTGGCAAGCCGGAACTGCCGCCGGATGAGATCGTGCAGGCCGGAATCGGACCGGTGCCCCGAGGAGCTGCGTCATCACTCCGGCAGCTGAATTTGGGGGCAGTCCTGCTGGCAGCACTCCTGCTGCGAATCCGCCTCTAAATGGGGTGCCACTTATTCGGGCCGAGATGTGTACATACGTATTTCCGGATTACTCAGCCATCGATGGCTTCGGCGCGATAGCGAACGCACATAGGAAACCGAAACTAAAGTATTCTAATTATACAAATGCTAATGCGCGACCGCTAGCTTGGGTCAATGTTAATGTTAATGCTATAGAACACGCTGGAGCGATCACCACTGAAACATTTGTGCCAAGCAGGGGAATTCGAAGAACGAGGATTAAAGTTAATTTAGTTTAGTTAAAGTTAAAGGAGCGACGTTGATTAGGACAGAGAAACTGCGACGATCGGTTTAAAACCGCAAAAACGAAAGGAACATTTTGATTAACCCTAGCTATAATATTTATTTGTTTTGTCTGTATGCATGTGAATTCTGGCACTTTTCACGAAGGAACCCGAATACGTTGATAAGTCCAATATTTAAAGGTTATTTCTGCCTCAAAAGCGATAGTGTAGCAAAAATGGGCAAAGTCTTTAGGATTTGCAATACGTACAATATTTTTGTATATCCAAGCGTACTTACGAACACTAATGTAACTGAATCAGAGGGGAAACGGAAAGGGGAGGGATTTATCGAATGGCACGCAGATTATTTTATAAACTAGACCAAAGCTTAGACATACATATGTGTACCTACCACACCATATACATATGAAACTTATTTTTACGAAACTACGCCACATCAACTCAATGGAACAGAACGATTCAAAATATACAAATCAAAAGTTAGAATGCTTAGGAGATATTGAAGAAATCGAAGGGAGAGAGCCATATATACATAAATACTTATTGTGTACTGTTGATAGTCGGGTTTGGCTTTACTTTTTGTCCTTGATTCTGCTACAATACCTGAGGAACATCGCCATAACATGCTGACCATGTACACTGTACGTATGTGTAATCCAATTGTGAGTGTAGGAATATATTTTATATATATTTTATTTAAGAATCATAACATTAGAGCTGATCAATAAACGTGCCAATCGAAGCAATCAAGCGAAACTGATTGCTCGCTAAATCAAATCAAAACGACACAAGCAAAATAAAGTTCCATAAACAAAGTTTTGACGAGGACCTGATTTCGAATGCCGACCTTTAAGCGTACATATATACATATACAGAATCATATATATAAAATGGGGAATACTTAAAGCCAGTGTCTTACATGAATATTGTAATTTTTGTTGAGTCCACGATAAGTAAGCAAATAAAAATAAACTAAACGGATGTAACTTGTGTGTTTACATGTAGGGATTAGATTGGATTGGCTTAGTTTACTTTGGTTCCTTTTTTATTTAATAAATAAAGTTGATTTCGTGTCTTTACAAATACAAAAATTTACAATCAACAAAGACTTCAAATGCTCATTTCCTGTGAGAAGAGTGGAGAGTGTAGAAGAGAGTAGGCAGTGATATCTGCCGGCGTAATACTAAGCTAATCTAGTGTTTGCCCATCCCCAGGAGCAGCAATGCGATCGATCCGAGTAGCGTGTGGCCGAGAAAACTGCTCGCAGATCCCGCCGCCGAGGTGGAGCTCTCCGGTGCAATGGCGTCCAGGGAATGCTCGGCGATGATCACCTTCGTGCTGACCACGGATCCGGCGGGCAGGACATTGCAGCTATAGCCGCCGGCGTCCTGGGGACTGGCCTTTAGGATGGTCAGATCAAAGTTCGAGTCCAGTTTGAAGTTGGGCTGCACCACATTCTTGCCATTGGCTATGACATGGTCGCCAAAAAGCCACAGAACAGAACAAACCTCACAGTTTTCCACTGAAAATGAATAGATTTTTAGAAGGTTTCTCGAGGTACAAGAGGTTAAACTTACGATCGGTTCCCACATCGCACGTGAGCTTCACATTTTCGCCTCGGATTCCGGTCACAGTAAGGGATTTGTTCATCTTGTCACCGATACTGGGATGCGTAGATTTCGTCTGCGGACTGGGCGCACTTTGGCTTTCTTCTCCATAATCAAAATCATCTGCATCGCTCTGCATTTGCTCTTCTTCGGGTGTGGATTGTGGGTATGAGAACACTGGAATGGAAAAAAAGACGAAATTATAAGTATGGGGAATTTATATAGAAAATCCTTCTTAAAATTGTATCTTTTTCGAATTATAAAATAAATATAAACCACCTAATCTCAATAAACGAATCCGTATTTCCGATATATTAAATACTTTTTTTTAATGAATAACACAGGCCGACAAAATGTGACACGGGTCGATGTCCAGGCCTGCCACCATTTTTTTTTCGATAAATGAGGCTTTTCTAAGCATAAGTTGCCACTACGCCTATAGTCCATCAGCTCTGGTATTTGCGGTATCTTTAATTTAAGAAAATCACAAAATTTTTTCGGCTTTTTGGGATATATCTTCAAGAGTGGTCAACCAATTTTGGTAATCTTTTCGGAATTAAATAGTTACATGTTGTTTTATACGCTCGTTTTGGAAAATTCAATCCAACTCAACCACAAGAGGAGGTGGGCGCATTCAAATTTTAAAGTCACAGCAAATTTTAAAAATCTTCATTTGTGAACAGCGTTTAAAATTAAATAAAAATTTTTTCTACGATGCATTTTTGATCCAAAGACACCCTATGTCCTCAATTTTTAGGACACTCATCAGGTTTTTGAATTGTTTTGAAATTTTTAAAATTGGTTTTCTTCCTTCCTTCACAGTGACGATTCACAAACAGTGCCCAAACCTGTCACAATTTTAAATAACATAATTCTAAACGATCTAAGTAGTTTTGCTTTGAATATAAGCACATGAGCGTAGCCTACTATTATTTGGGGGCTGAAATGCCTGAAGTGTAATCCCCTCCAGCTTTTAACTTACGCCCATGTATAAATATTTTTAAAGCAAGGGTTACTTGTGCTCAAAAATAGTTATGTTACGTAAAATAGTGACAGGTTTGGGCACTGTTTTAATTGTCACTGTGAAGGAAGTAAGAAAACTTTTTAAAAATTCCAAAACAATTCACAAAAACCTGATGAGTGTCCTAAACAGTAAGGACATAAGGTGTCTTTGGATCAAAAATGCATTTTAGAAGAAAATATTTTTATTTAATTTTTAAACGCTGTTCACAAATTAAGATTTTTAAACTTTTGTATTTAAAATTTTAATCCCCTCTTGTGGTTGAGTTGGATTGAATTTTCCAAAACGAGCGTATAAAACAGACATGTAACTATTTAATTCCGAAAAGATTACCAAAATTGGTTGACCATCTTGAAGATATATCCCAAAAGCCGAAAATTTTGTGATTTTCTTAAATTAAAGATACGCAAATACCAGAGCTGATGGACTATAGGCGTAGTGGCAACTTATGCTTAGAAAAGCCTCATTTATCGAAATAAAATGGTGGGGCCTGGACACCGAAACATGTCACTTTTGTGGCCTGTGTAATTATAGTCTGTTTTGATTAATAATTTGTAATCATTTTTGTACATTCTTCTTAAACTATTTATATTTTATTTTTTACGTGAACTCCACTTTTCTGAACTATGAAACTCATTTCATCTAACCTTTATCCTGTAAAGTTCATACGGTTTTATTTCTTAAATAAAATGTACTTCTTCGATGACCTATAAAGCGACTGCCTAATGCGGCAGCTTCAGAAGATCGACTGTAATTATAGACCATTTGATTGTTTATAACGGCTGCCCGCGGGAGGTCACATCAGCCACTGCGTTTAGTCGGTGGGTTAATTAAAGGAAATTAAATGGAAATCGAAACCGACGCAGTCTTCTACTGCTGTTTTTGTTGTTTTAGCAGGGTGCACTAGGCCAACATAACGGCCTGTGTTTGTGTTTATCTTTATCATTTTCGCAGCTCAAATTCATCAGGGGGTTCCACGGGGAGGGGGTGCTGAGGGGACAGCTGCACCGATGATGGGTTAAATTAAAGGCTGGCAATTCGCATTCACGGGTTTCCTTTCGGTCTCCGTCCCCCTACATAATTACCAACATGAGCACAGTGGCGTAGAAAGGGGATTTACAGATATTTTTCAGTAGTGATCAAAATTAAGAATTAACAGTATTCGTTTAATTTAAAATGAAATAAATTAGTACCAAAATTTTAATATTTTGTATATTTTAATTCAAGAACTCTACCAATCCTGAGTTCTACAACCCCTCTTTAAAAAATCCTGCCTCCGCCACTGCATTTTGTGCATGTGTACAAACACATTTGGTGGAAAACATTTCGGTGAAATGGGGTCACATGAAAAACGAAAATTAAAATGAGCGAGTGGAAAGAGAAAACAAGAGTGCCTAACCCAACACTCCCCCTCGCAATCGCTTTTCTCTCCCTCCTCCCCCCTCCCTAATTTCGTCCGCCTCTGGGGCGATCGCCGCACCCACATGTGACGTGCTGACGGAAAGCCAAAAACAACTACGACGGCCAGAAGAACGGCAGCACATTGAGCCACTTTTTGTTTTTCGGTGGTGTCGCCGATGGACACACCGAATTGAAAGCATTTCACAACAATGTCCATTTTCATAGTGCCAACTGCAACACGCACACTCTAACAAATAGAGGTGCACTGTGAAAAATACTTTAAAAAGGCGTTTACTATTTAAAAGTTAATTTGATACATTCCAGAACGGAATAGACTTATATAATATCTTTTCATTTTAAAAAAAATGCTTACTTTTAGTGCATAAGATAAAATAATTTTTAAGATTTAAAGATTTATAATATTAAAACGATTTTTTTACGATTTAAAGATTTACAGATTAAATAAATATATTTTAGAGCTAAATTTATAGCTATTTCAAATTATGACTAAATAAAATACTTTTTTTTGTGATGTAACTAAATATCAAAATCATTAAAAATATTCTAGATAACAGAAAATATTAATTTAAAAATTATATTTTTGCCTCGTATAACACTATCAAATCTGTTCCCCCAATTTTGTTCCGTGTAAACAGTAAAACACCGCACACACCCTCTAAATAAAAGGGACAGTTTGGTTGGATGATTGTGAAAAGTTTAAATTTACATTTTGTCCATTTTCTTTGGTTGCTTGATTCTATGAGTGTTATGGCCAGTTTTTCATCGGTCGCTCAGCGGAGCGTGCTAAAAAGTTTTTTGAGAACAAACAGTAATTCTCGCTGGGCTTGCAACTCAAATTCGAATTCCTGCCAAAACCGAATGTAATGAAATCGAGGCGATCGTTTCCCTGTTCTTTTTTCTTGCATTCCTCGTAACCTCCTGGTGCCCCATTCCTCTTTCACAAAAAATGCACATTCACTCACGCATTCGCTCTTTGTCGTAAACTTAAGCCATAAAAGAAATTTATTCTCGTATTTACATTGAACGAAAAAGACACTGAAGCCATCTGAATTTATGTTGAACGCTTTCCGCCCCAAAAAAAACAGCAATTCAACCGGGAAGATAAGCAAACGCGTGGAATAACGAACAACAATTGCAATGAAAGTTTGTTTGCAGAATTGGTTTTTTGGGAGGTCGATCTGAATCGAATTGTTATTTGGCTTCCGATAAACATAAGCCGATAAGCAGGAAGTCAGGGAATATTTGTTGGGGAAAAGGGAAATACCAAGTACACTTATGGTTTATTTCAGATTTTTTCTATGCTGGGTAAATTCTTAAAGATTTTAATTATTCCCCAGGGTTTTAGTCCCAAAGGAAGCTTTCAAACGCTTGCCGTCTCAAAAATAGTTATATTTCAGGGAGAAAAGAGTAAAATTTCAAATAAAATTTCAGTTGATTTGCATAATTGGTATTTAGGGAGGTCTAATTGAAATTTGGGGTAAATATAAAGTTCCCAAAGGTTTCAACAGGAAGTTTAAATATTATACAATTTTTTCTTTAAACTTTATCAGCAAAATAGCATTGAAATTTCTGGTTACAAATTTAAGTTTTTTTAAAATGTTTTCCAAGAAATAGAGCATTTAAGCCCAGCATTTAAAATACCATTAATTTCAACGCCGCCTTTTAACCTATAATTTCATTTCACATCCTCCCGAAATTATCTTAGTCAGGGATTATGTTCGGCTTCATGTTTTCCTATCTCCCGAGATAAAAGTTTCCTAACCTCTCCTAACCCCTGTTTCCCGCCCGTTTTAATTGCTACTCAGAATTGGACCGACAACAATTTATCATAACCATGATTCCAAAAATATAAAGGGCAGGGTAAAATGCATTTCAGCTAATAACCCAGAGCCTCAGGCCAAAGTTAAGTCAGCATTAGTGCCAGTCACTCCCCCTCCTTCCCTTCCCCTATATATATTTTCAAATATATATATATATCCCCCCTCTGGCCGGGAATCATTCAAGTGCAGCACTTTTGCTGTTGGTTTTACTACCTGTGATAAGGCCCCGAGGAAATTAAGAGTCAGCCGCGGAGGGAGCGAGCTCTCTGATCTTTGATCTCCTTTCCCTGTGTTTTCAGGTTTGTCCAACCGGGTTTGTCCAAGTCCCTCCCCGCTGTAGTTTCTACACTCAACAAAATGAGGTTTTGTTTTTCAGAAGTTCTTACTTCTTGGGTAATTAAACAATTACCATTTTTTTTTTAAATACCTATCAAATTCCTATTTGATTGTAGATTTTTATGAATTTTGGTATTCAAGTGATAGTTTAACAACTAAAAATGTCCTTCATGTTAGAAATCTTTTTAACATTTGAATATAAATTTCTAGGATAAGGAATTAAATGGTTTCCATTCTAAAATATTATTTAAATTTTTGGTATTAATTTCTAAAATTATAACGTTCCGAATCTTTAAACTATTAATTTTTTAGGCCAATCAGGACACATTTTTCCCAGTGCAGTACGTGACTGACCAGCAGAAAGACCTGGCCAAGGGACGGAGCTGCGTTATATGAGCCGAAAATTGTTTGGCTCTTTTCCTGGCCATTGTGTGTGTAGTTGAGTGTGTGTGGCAGATAGAGACATAAGGCGAAGCGGATAATGATAATGGCATTCGGGTTCTGTGAAAGCGATCAGGTTACGGCCACAAACCGAGAGGAGAGAACCTCATAAAGTGACTACCTACGCACCGGGCACTTTGAAATTGGCCAGGACCGGGAGCTGCATTATCCCCGAGGGTCGAGGGGCAAAGGGTGGGAGTCGAGAGGCAGATGTGCATCATTTGACAGATGCCGAAAATAGCAAATTATTCGCAAGCGTGTGCCGGGATCTGAAAAAGGGATTGTGGTCTACAATCCATTTGGCAGATGCCAAACTAATGGAGTACTTTAAAAATTAAAAAAAAAATAATAACTAAAATATGCAAATATATGCGCGCATGTTCCAATCATTTCGGCCTCCATTATCCGAATCGATTTATTTCAATTTCCATTTGTTTGATCCCCCAGATGATGAGGAAGGCTATGGCAACGGCATCAAGTGGCCGCAATAAATTTCGATTTTCTATGATCCAAACTTCTAGACTCTGGAGGCACTTTCTTTATACATATGCATTTCCAAATGGAGAACATTGATTTCACTTAAACGATTTTACATTGCGCCCCCGATCGTTGAGCACAAGTTTCTTTTTCTTTTTTCCCCCCGAAAAGTGCAGAGAAATGTTCCCTTGTGGATTTCGGTTGCACGTGTCTGTGGCAAGTGCCATGGCTTTTGGGTTCGAAATTGTGCGGGCGCACTGCCAGCAGAGGTTAAGACGTCTATATAGTAGGGCTATATATGTGTTATAGCATATAGTTGAGGCGCGACTTTGGCTACGCCTAGCGCATATTAAACCGCTCTGAGGCAGGGCTTCTAATTAATATGCGGCACTCCTTTCTTGTTCTTCCCTGTATATTCCCCCTTTCCTCGATTAGCTATTTGGGTTCGTTTCGATTTGGGTTATTTATTGCCATTTGGCTGAAGACTTCCATTCGGGCCGTGGAGCCACACTTAAAGCTTCAATTGAAATTTTAGCACGCGGCCGAGAGACAATATTTAAAAATTCGACGCACTGGAACTTAAGAATGCTTTGAAGAATGTCGTTAAAAAAATTCTTAACTACTTTTTGGCGGCACAAAAGGGCCGTTCATATGAATACTTCTGAGAAAAATATTAATTTTTTGTTTGAAAAAAATGTATTACAAAAACCGCCAAACCTTTGATTACGTAATATTTTGGAAGACCCTCAAACAACAAAAGATACAATTTAATAATGGGCATCGCATTTCAGAACTAATATTCACTTTTATTTTTGCTTTTATAAATTTCAAATAATTATAATTTAAGAATCCAAGGGATTTTTAAAAGGAATGCTACTAGATCAATTTAGATAAACTAATGGTAAAAAGTAAAATCATTTATTTATATATCTTAGATAACTAGAATCTTTCTCATCGTATGTTTTTTAAGACAATCTACACTATTTGTATAATTAACAACTAAAAAATGTACTATTCCCTACTTTGTTTCGTATCATTAAATATCACAAATATTCAAGAGATTTATTCGAAATCCAGGCTGCTGTCCAAAATAGCCAACATAGCATAGGATCGGTTGCCCTCCGAGTACTTATCCCCAGCATTATTGCTTTCCACTTCTTATGTATGGGCTCGTAAATTCTGGAAATATTTCCACAAAGCTGCAGCATCTGCGGCTTTTTGGTTTTTCGCTTTTGACTTTGACTTCTGCCTGCCGCTGAATCAGCAGTTGGGTTCTCCATTATCGTGCCGATCATCAGCGCTTTATGTGTGCATTTCTGTGGAGGGGTTATGCTATGTACAAGCCTCCTATATCGCATATATGTACTTACAATCGTGCCCCACTTGAGTGGTGCCGCTGCACCCCCACTTCACCCCCCTCGAAAATAAAACCCGCACTCCGCGGACGACAACTCATTCAGCGGCAGGCGATTCGCCAGCGACGTTAAGTAAATTGATTCTTTAATTGTCGAGAATTGGTTACCAGTTGGTTTAACTCGCTTTTGCCCGTCGACCACACCCCCGTCCACAAAGCCCCCATATTTGCAGTGGATATGAGTGTGAATGTGAGTATGGATGTGAATGTGGATGCAAGAATGAGAATCGAGCATCGAGAATGAATACATGAATACCAGGCCATGGCGAACAGACAAGACAACATCGGGTGAGTCATCTGGGTCCAAAATAAATACCCCCGGGCCTCCGTTGAGCAGGAATTTCTGCACAGACAAGGGCAGGGCCCTCACACCCGGCCACTCCCACTTCCCCCCTATCCGACCATCGAGAACCCCGACTCCCTCGCATTTCGAGCAAAACAAAATCTTTTTTTATGCTTCGCGGTTCTTTGGGCCTTTGCGGTCATTTGATGCCTTCTTTTTCGTTCTCTCTGCCCGGGCATTTCAATTCGCACCAAGCTGGCTACACAACACACAAAATGCCATGAAATTCAATCCGCAAAGCGGGATAAAAAGAAGGAAAAACCCCAGAATTCTGCACAAGGAAAAACATGTCCCGAAATTAAGACCATGTTTTTGGAATTCTTAAGCAAAATTAATTTTGAAAAAGCGCTGAGTAATTAAATTTGTAGGGTACCATTTATGACACATTTTTTGGTAATATGATTTGGGTAAATATGAAAGGTTTAACGTTAAAGCAAATTCAATTGTAAGTAAAATGAAATAACTGATAGTATTAATCCAATAATAAATATATAAATATAAAAATATAGTGATCAAGTACAAAAAATAATGCTAAAAATTTAATTTTTATTAAAAGGAAGATTTATTTAAAAAATTAGTAAATAAAATATGTTTCTTTAATATCTGTTTAGCATAAACTCAAAAGAAGATATTATATATATTAAGTACTCTTAACACATATACTTTGGTTAACTTTTTGCATTGGTATCAACACTTATCAACTGATGCCATTTTTTCTCCCAGTGATCTCAATGATCATCAGTTAGACTTGTTGTTTACCCATGTCAAGCCCAGTCGGACAACTATGGAATATTAAGTAAATATGGTAAATATGGACTGAGCAAACATAAATTCCTGGCGAAACATGTCAGCAGATCAGTCGGCGATCGGCGGCGGAAAACGGCTTTCTTGTGCGCATGCGCATACCTACGTACGATTTTGCAATCCAATCAATCTGATGATAATCGCATTGTCTATGGATTGGGGTAAGCAAACAGAGGACAGGAAAGGGGTTCCGATTCCAGGTGATCTCCGATCACACCACGACCAATAATGTTCTCACGCTGCTTCGCCACGCTTCTTTAGGGTAATGGCTCCTACCTAGAATTGCGGTGAGTCGAAGGGGCTAATTAATACAGGACCCCGGATCCGAGTTCGAATCTGAATCTGAATCCGATACCGATCCTCACCCAACCCTCCTGCTGCTTAGGCCTTCCTATTGATCATCGGATTGTTTTTGCTCATTTCCTGGGCCCCGGACAATGGGAGAAGTCTGGAATAATTAACAGCCGTAACCGATTCGGAATCACAAATGGCAAACAGCAAATGGCAAATGCCACATAGTGTATGCTATGCACTCCCCTCTTCAGATACTTCCCATTCAATAGAGTGAATGAGCGGGGAAAACTCGAATGCATTCAGGCTGCCGCCATTCATCGGTAGTGATAAATAACTGAATTAATGTGACGGCCTTTGGACAATAAATTATTAAGTTTACTGTTCAACTCACTGTAAAAAGTGCTAAAATTACGCAAGTAATAAAAACATTAGCGATACACTATCTATAAAAACAATCATTTGAATAATGCGGAACTCTCGCCCAATTGCAAAATGTCAGCAAGCAAAAGATCAGAGATGAATCATTGTGATAAATCTGAATGGGTTAATGGGAATCTTCAGTGTTGGAACTTGACAACTAACTGAATCATAGGTGATGTATATTTTTATAAAAACCATTTCTTAAAACTAATAAACTGAAACAAAATATTTAACACAAGCTGGTAATGTTTCCATATAAACCAAAATTTAATGTTTTATAAAAACCATTTTCTAAAGTTATTCGGAAATTTTTCATTGGTTTTAAAGAGGAATATTCATTGAAATTAATAGGAATTATTAAATTATGTCTCGGGAGGCTAATAATTTAAGTCTTAATGATTGAGCAACATTTGACCACTTGGGAACAGTGTTCAAATAAATTGAAACCTATACCCTTTGGTGGCCCAATCAAAAGGCTATATTTATAATTTTTTTCGGTGCATAATCGCTGGGACAAATGTAGGTCAGAATGTGTTTGAAACATTCCGGCAACGACCCGCTCACGCCCAACAATCACATCGACTTATAGTAAATTCCTGCACTTCAAATCCCGGTCCGAATCTGATGCATTGCGATTAGTCGGGAGACGAGAGGCCCGGACTTTTGGGGTCGCCCCCCCCCATTTCGATTAGATTATGGAACCCGGCGATTGCATCAGGTTAACCCCAAATTCACTTACCCGCGGAGCTGCCCACGATGAGCAGGAGTCCGGCAATTAGCAGAGCTTGTCTGGACATCATATTGGGGAAATTGTGTATATTATGGAGTGCACTCGTTGCCGTTCGGTGTTTAAGTAGGTATCCAATTGGTAGCGTTTTCGGTTTTTGTTCGATTCCCAATCTGTGTCACACGGGTTTTCAAAAATTATTGCCGCGTAATTATGTTGACGTTTTAGCGTTCCAATTTCCGGCTAGCACTGTCAGCACTTTTACTTAATTCTTTTTTCTTATTTCTTCGGCTCGTCACACAAGATAAATGGTTTTTGGCTCTGGTATTTTTCAGTTTTTACTTTGTACATATATTTTGGAAATTCAAAATTCCGTTAACCGTCCGTTCGGGGCAACAGCAAAACGAGAAATGGGAAGCGGTTTTTGGTTTTCAAGTTGCAATGCTGTCTTGTCTGCTTGTGAAAGAGAAAGGCGAAGAGAGTGTGGCTTTCCGAAAGAGAGTGCGTTAAGAGAGCGTGGATTATGTGGCGCGAAATAATTTTATTTAAAAACATTCTTTTCGAAGGGGTTGTATTTATAGAAAGAAAGCATTTCCTGGCCATAAATATGAATTAACGGATGTGGACCGTTGGATATGCGGATTGTGCTTTAAAAAATACGAAAAGGGTTGTGGTAGAACTCATATGAACAAGCCCCAATTAACTTAAAATGAAGTAGCGAAATACAATTTCATTATGCCACATGCTCATTCTGAATTCCAGCAATTGCTGAACAGCACATGTCTTTCTTTTCACTCTTCTTCCCGAAGAACCGTCTTCGAGTTGCAGTCCAAGATTCGCGGAAATTTATTTGCATCCCCCGGAGACAATTTGCTTGATGCAACTGCGGCATTTTCTCAGGGCTCCAATAAAGCCGGCCTGGGAAGCCGTGATTTCCTTGATTTCCAAGGGGTAATATCCCCCGAGTTACTCCATTACTTTGTCTGTTTTCCTTTTCTTTTTTTTCTCCTGCCTCCGACGATGACGCCTACATCGGGTGAGATACGGATACTTGGATACTTGGATAGTTGGCGCAACAGATGCAGATACGATTTATGAGTGCGACAGCGACCGCATTAAATGTAGATACATGCAACATTTGCACTGTACAAACAAACAAACAATTAAAATTAATCTACGAGCATAAAACAAAGTGCATTGCATTATGGATCTTGCACAGATAGATCTCTTTGAGGCTGTGTGTGCGCTGCACTGAGGAAAAATATGCGTTATCAGTTGATTTAAAATGCTAAGAAGTACTACGAATTATCCTTAATGAAGAATTATAAAAGTTGATAGGAGTGTACTTTCAAGTGTACATTCATTATCTTTAAATTAAAAAAATAGTTCTGAAAGTAAAAATTATAAAACTAAACATTTCTATTTTGGATAAAAGAAAAACTTCAAAAATAACATATATTATTTTTTGAGTTCTTTCATAAAATATAAAATGTAAATTTTATTACTGCATTAATTCCAGTCAAATAATATTAGATCCCAAGGACCATCGAAATGCTGGTACTATATTTTAATAGAAGTCAACACAATCAAAAATGTAAATGTAACTTAAATTACACTAGTTTACAAAATAATATTCTTGGTGTGCTCCCAGCAATTGATGGCAAATTCTGTTAGTGCTGGACCCTAGATCAAAAAATAGCACTTATTTTTTTCGATGGGACAGTTTTTTTTAAAGATTTTTTAAGTTTGAAATGTTAAATTTCGGCTTTTTCAATTTCTTCTTATATCTCGGCGTATCCACTCGGTTGGGCCGTTTTAGTTTTATTTTAAAGTCAATAGATCAGAGCTTAACTTTGCCATACAGATCAATACGATTGGATGAGTAATGGCAGCGCAGAAGCTCGACAAAGATGAAAATGTGTTTTTTGGTCGTCTGTAAGTGTTCGAAATAAATCCGTTGAAAAATCATAATGGGTACAAACTTAAAGTTTACATCCTACCGAATAAAACAAGCCGGAGGAAATCCATGGAAAACTGGATTTATGGTGGATTTTTAAGTTCGGATTTTTCGTTGGGTCCAATTTGTTTTTAGGCGGCGAATGTAAACAATGGGTGGGTCAAAAAAGCTAAATTTAAAGCTAGAATTTAAATAAATTTAATTTCTGAATTCCTTTAAAATATAAATTGCTTGCGTTATGACTGTGTTTTTAAAGTACTTCCTTTGGATGTTCATTCTTATGAAAAGTAACCTTATTAAAAATTAAATTCATTTATAATTTTCTAGTTTTAAATAACTGTTTGCTATTTAGTGACCCGTCCGCACCATTTTTTTTTTCTGTCGCGCCTTGTAAATCTTATTTCGTACCAGTGAATCCAATTTAAAATCCTATTTTTCATGTTTGCTTTTTTTTTTTGAATTTTTTACTTTTTTTTTCAATTTTTTGGGTTGTCCCAAAACTTTTTTGTCTTTACATTGTTAAATATGTCTCATATGCATTCACTTTAAAATCTTTAAAACTGTGCTTTTGGTCATCCTTGGTTGAAACTGTGTTATATTTTTAATTTTAGAATTATTTTGGAAAAACGCTGCAGAACCTGGGTGTGGATTGGCGATTTGAATTTTGAATAAAATATCATTTTAGCTAAATAATCGACATTTCCCTATGTTTTGTTTTCAGTGCGGGAATGGTGCGATGTTTGCGTTGTCTTCTCTTTTGGGTGCCAAGCTTGTAAACATCCGCAAATTTAGAACAATTACAAGGGGATTCGGATTCAGATTCGGATTCTGTGGGGCAGATGAGAATGGAATGGGATTGGATGGGTGTGGATATTAATCAAATATTTATATTTACACACACCAGTGCCAACACACTGGAATGCATTCGTAGAATTTCCGAGAATTCGTTTCTTTTGAAAACAAATTAATCAAACAACAAGGGCGACAGCAACAAAGTTAAAAGCCAGCAGAAGACTGGAAGAATAGAATGCTGACAGCAGGGAAATGTGAGAATTCTAGTGGAATTGCTCGGGAAATTGAAATGTTCCGCGAGGAGAGGCGCGCAGACTCCCTGCGCCAGCGACTTAAGAGAGGGCGCACGTTAAGAGTCTTGCCACTCTCTTGTGCAGTTGGCAACGCGGCCCAATGCAGTGGGTGGGAGTGGGATGGGAAGATTGCACCAACTGCAAGGGAATGCTGGAAAGTGGAATTGACCTAGGCACCCTCTCTCTCTCTCTCTCTCTCTCACTCTCCTTTGCTTTTGGTCCTGCCAAGTGGGAAATTGGTATTTTATAGCCTCGCGAATACGAGGCTTTTCCGAAATTCCAATTGGGCACTCCTGCGACTGTGCAACATGAGTCATCTGCTCTCCTTCGTCGCCTTCGGATATTTTGTTATTCGGATTTGGGTTCGGTTATTTGCTTCCTCTTCTCGTTTTCCCATTTAAAGCACAAAAATATACAGAGGAACATCAATAACAGGGAAATATTAGTTAGGACAACTCAATCCTAACTTAGTACTTAAAGTTTTCAAAACTTTAATTTAAATTAGAAGTAATATAATAATGCAATAATGCTCTTTTGAAATATTATTAGAATTTATCAGTCATTTTCTTAGATTAAAGATTTAAATTTAATCTTCATGTTCTTAAAAATTATGGTTCACTTTATACCATTTTGTTAGTACCTGAAGTAAAACGCTTTTTAAAAACATTTATTTTTAGTCAGTAAGAAAAGCTTTATAATATAATGGAAAATGCATCAAAATGCCCTAAAGTTCTTATGCAAATTGAATTTATGAACCCTTGTTGCCTGTTCGAAGTAACACTGTAGCTGGATATCCCTCCGTCGGCATTCGCAATTCCAATTCTTATTCCCAACTGGCAGTCCTCGGCGAACAACAGATACGTTAACGACAACCCACGCAAAAGAGCACACAAGGCACGAAAAACCGTAGCGACAAAAACAAAGTTCAGTGTCTCGGTCGCCGTTTATCCTCAAAGTTGGCAAAAAGCGAACGGGTTCTGTTCCGTAGCTGAAATACAGAAACACATAAACAAAAAGAAAAAAAAGTGAAAAGGATTTCAAGGAGTGCAGTTTGGCATACCCCTCAATCATAAACAAGCGACAGAAATGAGGCATCTCTGGCTGCTGCTGCTTATCGCCGGTGGATCTGTCCAGTTCCCAGGTAGAAATCGCTTCCATCTCTCTCATCTTTTGCCGCATATAGAGTTCCATTAAAGGGAACAAATTAATTTCGATTCAATTTGTAATCTTTATGTGCAGTCGATTTCTTTTCGTAAATCTTTGAATATGCGGGTTCCATAAAAATAGAGAGCTCTTCAAGGGGTTTATATCATCAAGACACAAAGAAATACTTGTAAATTTCTTGTTTGTTTGCTGCTTCTTATAACCCACTCATGGACGCTAATTTGCATAATCTAGAGATTATAATCCTGGGGAAAATGGAAAATGTTCCACGGCACTTGTGCTTATGTATGAGTTGCAGGCGCTTAAGTAATCGATGGATTACATTGCACCACCCCGTTTTCCCGCTGACCCAATAAGGCGAGGCTTTAACCAAAGTCCGCAGACTATTAAAAAAACATATGTTACTGGGATTGCCTCATCATTTGAATTATTCACAACTCGTATTTGTTCGAATGATTCGAAAGTAAAAGAACTCAAGTGAATCATTGAGGTGAATCGGTATCTGGATGCCCAAAATTCCCAATGATTATATGATTCGCGGATAAAGAGATTAGTCATAGCGTTCTAATATATTAATATTGATTAAATATGATATAGGGATTGCCTCATCATCACACATATCAGTATCCAGCAAATACTTAGGTATTCACCGGAGGTTGCATTTTCGCCATCCCCACATGGAACCGGCTCCAAACTCCATAAAACACTTGTCTGCCACCTAAAACTATCAAAGCAGAAGTACTTCATAGGGTCGCCACTTTTATGGCAAAGTTTTCCTTAAACGCTGACTGGGAGTTATTCAAGGGGGCGGTGAGGGGATAAAGTGGGCGAAGCAGGGGGAGGGAAAAGTTGCCTGAAAGAACGTGTGTCATTCATTGAATTGACGACAATTTGGGAACCACTTGTAAGCAGGGCCTGTCTTCCCAAGGCACGATGATGAGTATACACTGAGGGAAAATGAGGAAAAATATCCAATACTTGATAAATAAAATATTCGAGAACTTTCTTTGTTGAATTTTAAAACTCCAAAAAATTATAAGTATAATATTTGGTCTTAGGGCCGTTTTCTCGTCCGCCTGGTAAATTTTAAGTAGAGTTAAAACTCTGATTTTCCTTACGATTTCAAAGTTTTAACCCTACTTTAAATTTTACAAACGGACAAGAAATCGGCCCTTAGACTTATCGGTTTTATGGTCTGCGGAATCTGTTTTTTTTAAACAATTTATAACATTCTCTGGTTGTTTTGAAGGTTTTGTTAAGCCTCGAGTTTGACTTTACAGATGCGAAATCTGGCTCACTTATGAATGCCAGATGGAGCAACTTACATTGATAAAATATAGCTGAAAAAATCAAAAATATGTAGTTTTAACACAGCTTTTCTGTTCGTGCATGAGCATTGTTCAGTGCTTCCAAATAGAGAAATTAGTGGTACAGTAAATGAAAAGGGTGGCAGGGGTTTGGGCTGGAATGAGCACATTGTTAAAAATATCAACATGATTAAAGTGGCTCTTGAATAATTAAGCGACTGGGAGTGGGTCTGGGGAGCTGTGGTAGATGATGAGCTGTCAAACGGAAGAGAATACGGAATACAGCGAGGTAATTGCGTATCATGCATGGGTTCCAGAGTTATTTCTCTGGCTTATCGATATTAATTATAATACGGGGGGGACAATAGAGGCGTGAGATTCCGTGGGTTTGTCATATGAGTTGACAGTTTCCGTAAAGCGAATAAGCGAGTACTTTCTACACTTGACCCTGAAAGTTCGGGCTGTAAAACATAATAGTCTAAGTACTTTTCTATTTCTTTAGTTCTTAGATTCCTTTAATATTGTGGAATAGCATTAAAATATGTTTGATGTGTTAAATTATAATGAGATACGAATAGTTTTTATATTTCTAGTCTTATCTGTTGGATACGCCCCTTTATCTTAAGTTCTGCAATTTCAATATTTGCTCGTATTCGGTAAATATTATTAGAGCATACTTTTGGGGTCGGAAAAATTCCCCCAAAAAAGTAATAAATTTAACGTTATCCCATATTGTCTTTATGATTCAGGAAGATAAATTCATCCCCATTTTCCGCTGACCCAAATCGTATTTTCCGGCCAAACACAAGACGGTAACTACGCCAAGGCTAAGAAAGGTGTCCCGTCTTGTCTGCCAATGTCTTTTCATTTCTCCTAACGAGAGTGCTTTCACACCCCCGTTGGCACATAAACCCACGAATTATATATGGCAAATTGGCAATTTTCGCAGCCATTAAGCAATGCGCTAAACGTGCAAATGACGCAACCAAAGCGCTGTACCCACATCCTTGAGCCAAATTCAGATACACATATGAATGTACATATATCCGCTGAAATATCGGCGAATGTGTGGCTTGCATATGCTGAGTATTCCCGAAAAGAATTCCACATTCCGTGACCTGACCTCCAACTGGAGTTGTAACCATCATATCACTCCAGAATGGGCGTTGACACGCTCCCTGGGAAAATTCATGTATAAAAGGGGATTGGCCTGGCGGCGTATTCCGTATTTCGTTAATGGTTTTATGTTGCCCACCGAGGTCTTTGGAGCTTAGGCCTGGAAACTATCTCCAGACACGGAAATCTGGGCGGGAACGCTTTCGAGTGCTTTTCAATGAGTACAGAGAACAAATTTATTTGCTATGATGGTTATTTTGTGTTTTCATTTAACATTTACAAACAATTAGATTTTCGATATTTTTTTAAGTAAAATAAAAATATAACTTAATTTAATTACACTACGTAAAAAAATTGTACCTTTATTTATTTACCTTATTGGATGTCTAAAAACTTTGAATCACATTTTTTGAACAGTAGAGCAGTTGCACAAATTCCGTATTTTGCTATATTTGAACGGATCTTTATCTTTCGATCCCCAAACTATGATATTTTTGGGATTTTATTAAAATTACACTTTAAAGACCTTTACCATTTTCCCAAAAGTAGGTTCCTTATAATAAATACCAAAATAACAAAATAACAAGGAAAATTCAATAATTATAATTATTCAAATTATTCAATTACCCAAAAAAGACAAAACATCTTAACCCTTTTTGACCTAAGAATGATAGAAAGATTTTTTATTTGTGTAGCAAAATTCTGCGTGCGTTTGGGGCCCTACAACTAATTACGATTCATTCCAGGTGTGCTGACCTCCCCGGAGGCACTCCCAGGCAAATCTTCTTCAGCCGCTGTGGGCGGCGATGGAGGAGGAGCTGGGGGAGGAGTCACAGCCACAACAGGTGCAGAAGGACCCAAGGACTACGACTATGAGGATGAAACCCCATCTGCAGCGGGAAATCTGGCCATATCAACGGAAAAACCGAAATTCCCCGATCCTTACTTTGAGCAGACTGAAGTGAACTTGTATGTGCCAGTTAACACGACCAGTGTGAAGCTCGAGTGTCCTGTAAAGAATTTCAATTGTGAGTTCATAGCAGATATTACTAAACTGAATTTTCTATTTAGCTATCAAGTTATAGTGCTGGTAATATATATTTTTTAATTATTCATATTTAGATTTTGAAATATTTTTATCAGGTAGAGGGGTTCTATTTTTTGATCAGTCTTTCTCGTGTCCGTTTGTCCGTCTTCTTTTATAAAATTTAGAAGTAGACTTTTGGTTAAAAACTCTAGAAGATCCTATGGGAAATTTTTCAGAAAGGGTCCCCTTTAACGCCCACAACGTTTATAATTTTAAAATGTGAATATTTCGGAAAAGTAAAATGCATTTTATGGTTTTTAAAACCCATGATGTGGAATTTTTAAATCGGACCATTCGTTAAAAAGTTAAGGGAATTTTTTTTACTTGTTCCTCTGTTTTTTTTCGTTTTGTTAGACTGCTCCCTTAAACCTAAAAAGTCCTTACCGAATATTGATTTTTCTTTCTGTTTTTTTAAAGCTGCACATCACGTGATTCTCTGGTACAAGGGACAGACACTCGTCTCCAACGGAAATAACATAATCGACAAGGCCTACAGCCTGGGCAAAAAGTTCTCCCTGACCGTTCCCCTGGCTCCCAATGCCACGGAGGAGCAGTATGTGTGCGAAGTGCCCAACACCAAGGCGCGACGCCAGGTGACCATTCGCTTTGGACCGGGGCCAAGCACCGCGGCTCCATCGGCCGTCACCGACTCGGCGGTAACCTCCAGTCCCGCCAAGGATTCGGCGCCCCATGGACGGGACATTAGCCTCTGGCTGCTCGGCCTCCTCTTGGCCCCTCTCCAATTGGCCGGGTCCTTCCGTTTTTGAAGCGGGCCAAGTTCAAGAGCCCTCTGAAATCTCTGCACCACCGGCATTACGTTTGGAGATGCGCACCGCAACAGATGAGCTTGACATTGGGGACGTGGCCCTCGGATTTCGATCGATGGCTTGGCAAATTAACGTTAGGTGTTGCTTTGTTACTTTAATATATATAAACTTATACCATAGGAAAACGGATTTTTCGGGGAAGCAAACTTCCTAGAGCCATAGATTACTTGAATTACACTTCCAAATCTGCTTCCTCTTACTTCCAACGTCGATGTTTTTAGAGTCCTTTAAAGTAATATTGTTTGAACTTGGATATGCTATCTATAGGATCGAATTAGCCTAGTGTGAATGCTTTAGTCTTGCGCCCCATTGAATCGGGAGATTAGTACATAATTGATTTTAACTTAGCGGAACAAAATGCGATACCAAGTGGCTTAAAGAATCATTGTCAAGGATACTATATAAAAGATATATATATATGAACAGATTACGAGTACATAAAAACAATGTATGCAACTTTGTCGGATGTAAAACTGAAATAAACTAGAGCTGCTATAGACCCAGCTGAATCCATTCAACGAAATCCACCCCTATACTCACATGCAGGCCGGCAGGATTTCATGTCGTACTTTTTTGGGAGTGGGAGGGGGAAGAACGCACACGCGCGACAGGGACAACAAAGCGCTGAGGTCCTTGTAGGACCTCGCTGCAGCTGCAACGCAGTGGAGGAGTAGGTGGAGGAATTCCGCAATGTGCGCAGGGCCTGGCAACCATATGTCGGCTCCTAAGGGTGGTGCCAATGGTGGTGGCACAAGCCTCAAGCGAGAACTTTACTTTCCGGCTCAGTCGTCGACTGCTTAGCGGCCAGGACACACATCTCTCTAGTCAGCGGAATAAATCAGCGCCAAGGTGAGTTCCCATTGAATATTTTCGTTCAAAAAATCAGTGGTAAATTCCTCATCCTTCAGATGATACCGCAAAGTGAAAATAACCCTTTGGCCAAGGATACTTACGTCGAGGAATCTCAGTTTTCTGAGCACTGCGGCCAGAGTCGTTGTGGTCAGAACCAAACTGCCTTCGAGGTCTACCAAAGAATCGTGCACCGATTGCAAGCTAATACACAAGAAAGTGACTACAAAGCTAATGATAGCGAGCTACAAAAGCAGATTTGGCTAGCCAGCTTTACGGGAAGGCCCATACAATATCAAAGTTAGCTGAATAACCTTTGTTTATATATTTAACTTAAATAAAAAAATTGTAAATACCATATTTATTCCTTACAAGTAAAAAAACCAAAATATAAAATGACATTTTCATTTAAAAACCTTTATTATTGTAGTTTATTATTAGTCCAAGTGTCTTACCACTAAAAGTTTAAACTACTTACCCATCAGATATTTCAAAAACAAAATTGTTCTTCAAAAAAATATGATATATTTTAGTTATGCAGCAACTTTAGTTGTTTATTCAATGTATTTTCTTTTTCATTTATAAATTCATAATGTTTTATTAACTTATTTTTAAACGCATTTTAATGTCTTGATGTCCAAAATGGATTGTGATCTTCACTTCTTTTGTTTTCATCGAACAATGTGATAATTTCGTACCGTTTTATTACTTTACTAGTTTATTTTTGTAGAGATATAACTCTGATTCTACTGCTAGTGACACACGTGTTTAAATATGTAATGCATATATTGATTGTAAGGGGAGGATCGGGTCATTCAATCGATTCAATTATGGTTGGATCTGTTTGGACAGTATTTATTGTATTCATTTATTTCGTTTTATTACACATTTTTGAGAATCATAGAAGTTTACTCAGGAAATCATAATTTAAACAGAATTGTACATGATCCGTTAAAAACAGAACCATCAACAGTTCCAACAGGTTTATGCGAATTATAAATTAAGATTAATATTATGTTTGTGGGAATTGATAGCGCAAGTACGCATTTTTATAAATGTTACTCGTTATTCACTCATAGCGACATTTCAAATGCTGCTTTCTTCTTGTTAGACCAAGAATATATTAGGGTTTAGGTATATTCATAGTGCTCCCAGAATGGGCTTTATAACATAAACATCGTCCTTAGTTATCATTTTATAGCGGTGTGTGGCGTAATCAACCGGAGCTCCGCACGGCGCAGCTCGGTACTATTATTTATATTTTTTGAGTATGGTATACGGATTGGGCTTATAGGACTTGATGGGCGGTTCGCGCATACGTTTCATGTCAGTCGGATATGGACGTTTATATGCCGCTGCGTTTGTCGGTATTATTGATGGACGTGCTATAAAATTGGTTTATTATTATTTTTAGTATGTTATGCGCATATATCATTACAATATAAAAAAGTTGTTTGTTATTTAAAATTAATCATTCCAGAGTATTATATATTTTGCATTGAGAAGTTATTGTTCATTCACTGGTTTTGGTACTGGTACTGGAACAGGTACTGATACTGATACTACAATCTAACCCAAGGAGCCCCATCCAAAGTGCAACCCCTTTAATTGGGACAGTGCGTGGAAGGCGGAAAGCGATCTTATCTAATAGACCCCGGCACTACGAATCTACGGCTGAAAGGAACAGAAAAACATGCATGGGCTCCACTTACGTTTGCTGTACTCATAGCCCGTGGGTGGACGCTTGGGGGGCATACGGTGCTCATATTCGTAGGCCACCTCCTCCCCATCATCGACTCTATAAGGATTGATTGATGTTAGTGACTGTTTTAAAGCATGTTGGCTAGGATTTAGGTACTAATCAGACGCGATATTCCTGGTGGGGTCATTAAATGATACAAAATTATACTTTACAAGTAACTTACTCGGGCGGATTTTCCGCAGCTCGTTTGATTAGATTGATGTACTTGGGGGCTCCATTGCTGCTGCCTCCGAACTTCTTGTCGAAGACAGATCTGCAATATAATAAACAAATCAGATTCCTATTCCTCTATGACAGCCCTCTGTATACCATCTACTCTCCTTGCTGAAAGCCCTTTGTTTTTATTTTTGTTTTCTTGTATTTTTTGTACTTAAAATAGTTTTTAAAAGGGTTAGTAAAACCATTAATCAAAAGACATGCTTTAAGTACATGAATTTGTTTAATATGGCTCATTACTTGTGAGTTATCTGACCCAAGAAAATTATTTAAAAAGTTCTAATTCATTCTCGAAGATTTAAAGACATGTAAATGAAAGTCACATAGGTATACAGAGGTTAGTATTACATCCTCTCACCTGTAGGCCTCCAGGTTGGGTCCGTGTATGCTCTTGGCCGACTCCGGATCCATTTCCATCAGTTCTCGCAGCTGTTCGTGGGAAACCTCATCGTTCTTGTCTGGAATTAGATACTTACGGATCTCGGCCAGGGCGTAGGCTATGCGGGCATAGCACTCCGCCGGCGTGGCCACCGTGCTGACCTCCAGGAAGAGGTCCTTCTGCAGGTGGGCATACCTCGGATCACCCGAGTTGCGCAGCTGCTCCTCCTTGTTTCGATCGCGGATCGAACTGCGTCCCTTGATGGCTATCTTGCACTGGGTCTCCTCTTGCAGCCGGCGCAGCGAGTTGCCCTTGGGTCCCAGGATCTTTCCAGTGAAGTTGAACTGTCGGGGAAGGGATAGGGTTTAATATTACTCAGGGGTATCCTCTGAATTAGACCCACCTTGGGATACTGCTTGACGGGCACGAAGACCTTTTGGGTGATCTTCATCGGCTTCTGCTTGTACACATCCGCGTAGAACTCCTTGCCGGGAATGCGACCCGTGCAGTAGACTCGGTCCACAGCTGCAATATGCGGAAAAGTACCCTTATTATGCGGCTCTTGGAAAATTGGCAAATTGATTTTACCCTCGTCGATTAGCAGTGCGCATAGTGGAAATTCTGCGGACAAACGCTGGCGCTCCTCGTCCAAGTCGGCCAGAAACTTATGGGCCACCTCGTTCAGCCGCGGCTGGTGGTCATGGGTGGCTGGCTTCTCAGCAAACTCGCTTGGCGGCTCCATCTTAATCATCCAAATATTTACCCGAATAACTTTTCAATCAAAAACACAGTCGGAAAAACTGTATGTATAACAGGGTTCAAAATGGCTGCAGGGCTGTCAAACTTATCGAATGTCAGGGTTGTCGAGTCGAGCTTTTTAGTGCGATTTTTTAAACTAATACTTCAAAATGTTTTTAAAATTATCATTAAATTCTGTAAACAATAGATATTATCAAGCATTTCAAATAATAAATAAGTGGCTGACCACAAAAAAAACTTTGTCGAGTTTAATTAGGTATTTAAAAATATTTAAATAAACAAGCGCTAACAATTTATAAAACATCTAAAGAATACAATATTTTTTTATTTTAAACACTCGTAAATATTTTATAAAAAGAAAAACTAGCTGAAATTTTGCAGCAAAACAAAGCCGATAAAAAGCGATATCGATATTTTTGGCGGCAGTCGTGTTGTCCATCTCTATTGTTATAGAATTTGTTTTTAATTTTTGTGATACACAATAATAATGGCCAGCGAAGACTTATTTGAGAATGAATTCTCGGAAGAAGCCGATCTGGAGATCCAGCAAGCCATGGAGACGGAGGCAGAGGAACCAGGGGAAGACAAGGAAACCTCGGAAGTTATAGAGGAAACGCCGGAGAATCCCCCAGCGGAATCTGCCACAGAACCAGTTGCAGATAAGCCTCGTAAGTTATAGAAATCAATAAATAAGATTATACACCAATAATTTAATCCCCTTTCCAGTAACGAATGGCACCAAGCCTTCCGCAGATCACGAAGCAAAGATGACACAACTGCCCTTGGCCAGGATACGAAACATTATGAAACTGGATCCCGATCTGCATATGGCCAACAATGAGGCTGTGTTTACGGTGGCCAAGGCCGTGGAACTGTTCATCGCCTCGTTGTCCCGGGAATCCTACACCTATACGGCACAGTCCAAGAAGAAAACCGTCCAAAAGAGGGACGTGGAAATGGCCATATCGGCTGTGGACAGCCTGATGTTCCTAGATGGTGCCATGAACTTTTGAACCCCAAGCCCCAAGAAAAAACACCCTACAAACAGAATTCTTTCGATTATTCTTTTCTTTATTTTCGGATATTTTTGCGGCAACACACATTCGGTTCTAATCGGCCTAATGGTTTAAGGTTAAAAATAATATTTAAGATTTAAAACAATTGTTGGTTCGCAAGAAAACAAACAAAATAAAAAAAAATCATAATTATAAACGACAACGTTGAACGTTTCACAATACTCATTTTGCTCGTGGGAATTTGTAACGAAGCCGGTAAGGTAATTGGTTAATTTATTTTAACTGCTTCTGATAGTGTTGTTTGTTAATCATTCTGTCCGCAGGCTATACTTACTTTGTCGTTGGGCATATATCTCTGGTTTATCATTTGCTTTTATTGTTGGTTTTATCTCCATAATCTTATGAAACAATATTTCCAAAGCTTAGTCTAACATTAGGCATTGATTAATTACTTGTTTTGGGGATTTTTGTTTGTGTTTTGTTCTCTTTTTGTATTCGCTTTAACTAGCATTAATTGGGTTGAAGTTTTTGATTTATTTTTACAATCATTTCGAGGATAAAACTTGTTGCATTGATGATTTCATTTTTTGTTTTAACACAACTCGAATATTGGGGACAACAATTGCAATAAAAAGTTACGTTTTTTATTTGATTTTCGTTTAGATAGTATATTTAATAGGTGTGCATAGTTGGTTTGTTGACTTTAAACATTTTTGATAATTTGTTTGGAATATATTTTCATCTTTACGCTTAACTTTGTTTAGTTGTGGTTGTTGTTGTAGTTGTTGTTGGGGTTGATTTCTTGGGATTTTGGTAAGTCGATGGGTTAACGTATTTTCGGATATGGAGCCGAGCGATAACGCACGCTTTCACGAGATCGGGATCCAGTTTCGTAGTGAGCAGATGAATGTGATCCCGAGCCCGAGGTTGTTGGTCGATATGACGATGATGAACGACCGTTGCTTGGTTTTGCTATTTTGGAAAGAATTTTATTTGTTGTTTAGACTTTAAATTGTTTCTGTCTCTGTGGTGCTGTTTTTAGTTTTTGTTTTTCATTTGCTTAACATATATACATTGTAAAAAAAGAAAAATATATTGTTTAACCGGTTTTGAATGCACTACACCCTACGATAAGTTCTTCTATTGAGTAAAATGCATTTTTCACGTTTCAAAAAAATAGTTTCAGTTTGCATTTCATATTTTAAACATGTTGTACGGATATTTATTGCGTTTTCTAGCATGAAGTTTTATGATTTTGTTTTCAAAGTGTGAGTTTAAGTAATTTGATTGTTTAGTCGATTTTGCTTTATTCTTTTTTTGTGGCTCTTGCATCTTGTGAATATGTTAGTAGTCGTCCAATTAATGAAGATGATTTTATTGTCGCTGTTCGGTTTAGTTGATTTTGCCTCTGTTTCAGGCATAGTGCATTTAAAATCTTGTTAAAATGGGATGGGTTGCCGTTTATCATAATTTTGGTACGCGGTTTTGTGGCGGTTTCTGTTTCTTGTTTTTTTTTTCTTTCTTTTTTGCGTTTTCAATTTTCGTCGCTTGGTTGGATATTTTTTTGTTTTGCGTTCGAGTTTGTTCTTGAATTGCGCGATTTGAGTTTAAACGTTTACATTGCTATTTGTCGTATTCTTTTTCTTTTTTCATTTTGTTTCTTTTTACATGCCTGCTGAGGGGAAGAGATTAATCGGTCTAGATGGCTAGATAGCTTACCCGGATAGGCCGCCGCATAGGAAGAGGAGGACGAGTGGGGGTGATACTCACGCCGGTAGTCGCGCTCGTAGGAGCTGCTGTCATACTGGGCGTGGTGGGTCGAGTGCTTCGATGTCTGTGGCGGCGGTGTGGCGTAACGATCGTACTCTCCGTGGTGGTCGTACAGCTCGTGGTCCCGGGATCTACTGAAAATGTGGTGGATTTTAGAAAGTGTCTCCTAATATTGTAGATAAACTGTTGCATATGGTACTCGAAATAAACTATCTTTCAACCCAGTTACGTTAAGTAGTCCTGACCAATTATACAATTAAAAATAAAAACAGTTTTGGTAATATTTTGACAGGTAAAACCTATGAGATCTTAGCTATTTGATTAACTTATTTAAAACTAGACTTTCAATACATTTTAAAGTATTTCGTTTCTTGATCCTAACCAAAAATATGAACTCTATCACCCCCCATAATGATTAATAACTCGATTTAATCCAACCTGTGCGTCTTGACGATGCCATAGTTGGGATCGTCCATCACATATCGTGCCTTCTCCAGGATCGAATAAACTTTGGGCTTGGAGGAAGCAGGAGGTGGAGTGCTGTGACGAGACGAAATCCTCAATAGCCATTAAGAAAGCAGCATAAATAAACGAGCTTACCGGGAGCTGTAGGCGCCGTGATCGCCGTAAGACTTGGAATAGTGGTGAGACTTCTTGTACATGCGCTCCTTGCCGTCCATCTCGCGCAGCTGCTCCAGCCGGATGTCGTCGTTGGCATCGGGTATCATGAACTTGCGGATCTCGCCCAGCGCATAGCTGATCCTGTGATAGGCCTCCGCCGGGGGGGCCACCGTCGATATCTCCACGTGCAGATCCCGGCTGAGGTGGGCGTATTTGGGATTCCCTGAGCTGCGGAGCTCCTCCTCCTTGCCGTGGTCGCGCATCGAGTTGCGCCCCATCACCACCATCTTGCACATGGTCTCCTCCTGCAGCTGGCGCAGTGTGTTGCCCTTGGGGCCCAGGATCTTGCCAACGAAGTTGAACTTGGGGTACTCCTTGATGGGGAACAGCACCTTCTGGGCCACTCGGATCGGCTTCTCGCTGTACACATTGGCATAGATCTCCGGCTTGGGTATGCGGCCGCTGACCAAGATCTTTTCCACCTCTGCGGGGCCGTGGAAAATCAATTAGATCCGGTTAACTAGGTCTTACGTGGCCCGGGGCCAAACTCACCGTCGTCGAGCAGGCGCTTGGTGATGATGTGCTTCTTCTCGAGCGTCTTCTTCTCCAGCAGGCACTCCTGCAAATACGCGTTCGTCTTCTCGTTCAGCTGGGGCGTGTCCCGGAGGGCGGCGTGGCTGGTGGTGTGTCCGCCGCCATCCGCCTCCGGAGTCTCGGGAGCGCCGGTCGCCGCTGGCTCCTCGTCGCGCCGCTTCCGCTTGTAGTCGGCGGCGTCCTCGTTGTAGTCCCTGTCGTAGTCGCGCGGCATTGCTGCTTTGTTTATTTCTGGCCTAATGTGTAGGGGATGTGTAGGTTCTGAAAGTCCCGCTGTTGGGAAAATAAAATTCTGAACTCTGAAAAAATATGTATATCAAGTTGAGGACTATCGGAAAACTATCGAGTATCAAATTGAGGACTATCGGAACACTATCGAATGTCGGAAACATTTCGATATCTATTAAATTTGATTAATCGATAGCACTCGATAGTACTGTCGCGTTGTTCAAGCTATCGATAACTTTTGAATTGCCGTTAAAAATAGCTAAAACTGATGTAGCTAAAAAATAAGTATTCCGAAGCAACAATCGATTTCAGCTGAGTTCGCGTAGAATTTGAATTGATGTACGTATAACTATTGCTTAATTTTTATATTCATGCAAATAGTATTATAATTTTGGTGTGAAGTTGGTGTGATGTTACGCAGTAATGGATACGTTTCCGACCGTATCGGGGGTATTACATAAATCTCTTCCAGCCAAAGACGGTTGGTTTTGTGCATTGATGTACGTAAGGACGTGAACGGCTTTTGGTTGGCAAGAAGACGTTTAATCAGTGGATAATAACGAAGTGGAGTGGACATTGACTGATAAGCTGATTGCTTAGTAATTGGCGTTCAAGGTTTTGAAGATTTATTGATTTAACGTTTTATATCCTATTAAAGCATAACGTATCAAACAAAAACACCTCCTAACGAGGTAACAGAATTCTTTTCCAGACAAAATCCGTTATGTTTCCCACGAACATCAATGCACTACAACAACGGTTTATGGTTGGAAGAGACTTCTGTGAGACACCCGATATTGTCGGTACGAATAAAATTGATGATATCAATGTCGGTAACGAAAAATTAGCAGTAAATTAATGCATCACTAAATAAACACAACACTTCCTAAAATTTTTCTAAAATTTTCCGGAATGATTTTAAACGGTACCAGTGGCTCCCTTTGCACCTCTTCAAACCAAAGACTGTTTGTATTGTACTTAAAAAAATTTTACATCTTCATGTTTGCAACGTTATTTCGTCGTGTAAATTTTTATAAATTTGGGGTAGATCGAGGATAGATAATTACCGAAAATTGTAATAAAATGTTTGCCAAAGCCAAATTGCAAATTTAAGTCAGGTCTCCGTCTGACGTCACTCTGTCTTGAGGAAAACGTATTTTATTATTAAGTAACAAAAGTTGAGGCAGTTGACTTCTATATTAAGCATTTGAATTTCTTTGTTTTTGAAGTGCATCGTAAAGAAAAGAAAAATTAATATTTTGACAAAGAAAATGTTTGATATTGGCAACCATTTTTATTACTTTGGGACTTATTTTAGGGTTTTGCCGACAAGCAAGTGATAAGAAACATTCAAAGTTCTGATTAATGTGCAGCAGGGAGATAGGAATCCGGTATAAAAGGGGGTCCACTTCTGGGGCCAACTCATTGAATTCGCACCATGCTGAAGTTCGTGATCCTGCTGTCCGCCGTTGCCTGTGCCCTGGGTGGCACCATTCCCGAGGGTCTCCTGCCCCAGATGGATGGTCGAATAATCGGTGGTACTGCCACCAGCATCAGCGACATTCCTTGGCAGCTCTCCCTGCAGAGTTATGGTAGTCACTACTGCGGTGCAGTCATCATTTCCCCGTCCTACGCACTGACTGCCGCCCACTGTTTACCTGACTACATCCCCATCGAGGTTTTGAGAGTCCGTGCCGGATCTTCCTGGTGGTTCATTGGTGGCGACCTTATTTCTGTGGCCTCCAAAACGGCCCACGAGGACTACGACTCCTCCACTTTGGATAACGACATTGGCCTCATCGAGCTGAGCCAAGCCCTGACCTTCAGCTCTTACATCCAGCCCATCGCTGTGGCTACCTCAGACCCCGAAGATGGTGAGGATGCTATCGTCTCCGGCTGGGGCTCTCAGCTCCCTGGCACCAGCATCAACTCGCTTCATCTGCGTGCCGTCCCAGTGAAAACTATTAGTGAGACCGCGTGTCGTTCGGCCTATGGTAACAGAATCACGGCTAACATGTTCTGCGCTGGTGCCCCCGGCAAGGATGCCTGCCAGGGTGACTCCGGTGGCCCACTGGTCACCACTAATGGAATAGTTATTGGTGTCGTCTCCTGGGGAAACGGTTGCGCTAGGCCACAATATCCTGGAGTCTACACCAAAGTCGGTAAATATTTAACTTGGTTTAGGAATCAAGGCGCACCGGTATAGATAGATATACCGATCTTCGTCTGTCTGCTGTTTTAATACCGTTAGCGAGCTCAGATAAAAAAATTATTGCTTTAAAACTTTTTCTAACTTACGCTGATTTTAAAAAAGTGGCGCAAACTTGGCTGTTTCCTACTTCCTCAATGAACTAATAATCAAACAAAAGTTCCATATATATTTAACGTTAGTAAACCGCAGTATAAAACAATGCAAGTTTATGAAAATAAATAAATTAATTAAACCTAACCGTATTATCGATCCACCCTGTATGTCTTATAACGTTTGTAACAACATGCAGATTATTATATCCATAACTGATTATACCAATCATAACAAACCGTTCCCTTCCCTTATGCATAACCTTTTTTCCCAGTATGTCGCCAGGGTTTCCATAATACTGACTTGTTCCAGGTGGTGCTTCTACGCAAAATTGATTCGCCTCGATTGTTCTCTGAATTCTGTATGAACATTCGTAGCTGTTGACAATTGCAACGCTAACATCAAAAGTTTTCAAGCCTTCATATGTTCTCACATAGTAAAATAAAGTAAAGGGTGCACTAGATTCTTTCCGCTGGTCTCCCATTTTGGCAAGCATACAGATTGGCTTAAATCCGCCTGCAAAATAGATATTTAGAGATCGAGGCTATAAGCTTATTAAAAAATCACATTACCTGTGCCCGTCACCTGTCGATTTAGTTTTAGCAAAGCTATATCATTGTTAGCCCTTGCTTGCTTGAAGATTTTAACAACTCTGTATGATTCGTAGGTCGTCTGTGCTCCAAGCACACTAACTTCTCTGTGAATTGATTGAATTTGTATTTAAATTTAAAATATAGCACGAACAATTTTGAGACTACTCACAAGGAAGCAGCATTTGCTGGCAAGTTTCGGTCATTTGTCATAACAAATTCTGAGAAAAAAAAATAAATTAAAAAACAAAAATCAAAAAACCCATTTGTCTTATAATAAACTTCCAATTATTTTTAGTGTTTACAATTTAAGTATGGTTACTTTAAATTAAATTCAATTATGACAGATACTCACGGTCTGTGATCATCACCCCCAGGGCCTTGAAATCAATTCCATAAATATTTGCAATTAAATGCGAAGCTATCGAATCACCACCGCATTCTCTGTATAACCACTTGTCTTGATCCTTGGGAGTCCTTAAGGGTATGCGGGGTTGTGACGCATCGTCATCCTCATTCTCTTTTATTGTAGCCTCAATCCAGTCCACATAGCTCGTCACATCGGTATACACTCCATGTCCCTTGCACCCTTTCAAACCATAGCTCACGATCCCCAGCTGGGTTGCGAGATTTCCGATTCGTGGAACAGTGATATTGTTGATCAATGGACCACCAGAATCGCCATCACAGGTGTCTCCGTATGAAGCACCGGCACATATCTGCTGCAAACTGGGCCACAAGCCAAAGCTCTGACGACACTGGAATGGATTTAAACGGTTGAGGATAATCGTTTGAAGTATATCGCTTTCCTGCAAATTTTTTTTAAGACCCCATCCAAAGGCTTTGAAACTCATCGTGTGATCTACTTGGCTCTTAAAATTCTTATCCAAAATAATGCAGACTGGCTGGATATTGGCTGTGGAGAAATATAATTAATATATTATCTTAGGTTCTGTAAACTGTTCACATACGACCGTAGGATACGCTTCTGGACAGCTTAAGCAACCCTATGTCATTTTCGGAAGCTAATTGATTTCTGTATAATCGATGAATTATTCCTTTAATGACATTGAACACTGCGGTGGGCTGGGTTTTGTTATATGCTCCCAACTTCACTTGTCTTTAATCAATAAAAATATTGTTTAAATTTAATAAAGAATTCCATAAAGCTTAAGAATACTTACAGGCTATTTTGGTTAAAAATGCAATGTGCAGCAGTTAATACAAAGCCTGAAAATATAATATTATTATAATTATATTATTCCCCAATATTCTTTTGACTGAAAATACGAACGTCTGTGAATCAGAGTCCCACCACACAGAAATCTTTTGCTGTTACTAACGGCAGCCATCCATGCAGCTTCTTGGTTTTTGGCATTTTCTCCACCGAAAATTTTGAATCCCACGTTAGGTGGTGCTCCACACGGTTCCTCTAAAAACTGGGAGGCACCCAGTTCGGTAAGGAACAAAATTAAATAAGAAATCCAAGCTAAAGAAGTCCTCATTTCTCCAGATGTACGAAGCAACTGACTGTGAAAGCTTAAAAAGGAATGTTCTTTAGCACCCAAAAATTGAACAGATAAATACGATGACTAACACGTAATGATATTAATCTCTTCACTCATATTTATTTATAAGTCTGTCGAATACGTAATATTCTAAAGTGGCGAAACTGTCGAGCCGCTCGACTATCAGATACCCATTACTGCGCTAAACAATTTCAAAGTAAATAGAAAAAAAAAAAAAAAAAAAAAAAAAAAAAAAAAAAAAAAAAAATAAAAAAAAAAAAAAAAAAAAAAAAAAAAAAAAAAAAAAAAAAAAAAAAAAAAAAAAAAAAAAAAAAAAAAAAAAAAAAAAAAAAAAAAAAAAAAAAAAAAAAAAAAAAAAAAAAAAAAAAAAAAAAAAAAAATTAATCAAAACCGTAAAAAGAACCACTCCTAATAAGTTGAAGGGCCATGAGGGTACTGGGAAAATAAAACTTGTTGACCCCCTCTCAATTTTAATAATTTAATTAATATAGACAAAAATGAATAAAATGCAAAATGATAGCTTGAAAATAGCTAAGCACGAGCCAAATTCAAATTTTGGTCAGACCTATCGAAATTCGCGTTTAACAGCACCGCCGATTGGCAGTTAACAGCACGCTGCAGAAGCACGAGAGCCAGCCCAAGAGACCAGAGTTGCCGGACCGCGCCGCTAACATAGTAAATGTCCGAATAAAAATACACACTTAGAAAAAGAGAGAAAAATTAGGGCCGAAGTGTGCAAACTTGGCAAATCGAACCGAAACGACAGCAAAAGCGATCGCCCGCAATCCGCGCACGGAGAAACCCGAGACTCGGCGACAAAGCAGGACGACAGAGCGATCTCGATCCCGAAGGCAGGACAAATGGCGGAGAACGGGCTGCGTGTGCCAGGGTCATCGGCGGTGGCCTCCTCGGTGGCTTCCAGTGGAGCGGCAGGAGCCGGCGCAGGTGGAGGATCGGGTCCAGGAGCAGCCGTTCCCGGAGCAGGAGCGGTGGCCACCGGCGGCGGCGGCGGGGAACGAGCAACGGGGAGCACGAGAACGAACACAACGCCAATGCGGACAGCGAGAAGACCCAGCCGGCGCCGGCGGTCCAGAAGTACATGCAGGAGCTCATGACGGAGCGGTCGCGCATGGAGAACCACTTCCCCCTGGCGGTGAAGCTGATCGATGAGGGTAGGCAATTGATTTGTCCAGGTCACTTCATGGTAATTATACTGAATTCCCCCTGCTTTTTTGCAGCTCTGGAGCGCGTGCAGCTGAACGGACGCATCCCCACGAGAGACCAGTACGCCGACGTCTACCAGCAGCGCACCATCAAGCTGTCGCAGAAGGTGCACGTGCCCATCAAGGACAAGAAGTTCAACTATGTGGGCAAGCTGCTGGGCCCCAAAGGCAACTCGCTGCGCCGCCTGCAGGAGGAGACGCAGTGCAAGATCGTCATACTTGGCCGCTTCTCGATGAAGGATCGCGCCCGCGAGGAGGAGCTGCGCAACAGCGCGGACGCCAAATACGCCCACCTGAATCTTCCGCTGCACGTCGAGGTGTCCACCATTGCACCGCCCGCCGAGGCGTACGCCCGCGTGGCCTACGCCCTGGCCGAGATCAGGCGGTATTTGACGCCGGACAAGCACGACGACATCCGCCAGGAGCAGTACCGCGAGCTCATGGAGGATCCGGAGGCGGCCAAGAAGCTGACGCTTCGCCAGCTGCAGCAGCAGTCGAATGCCGCGGCCAGCGGAGGAGGTGGCGGCGGCGGCGGCGGAGGCGGTGGTGGTAACGGAGGCGGAGGAGGAAACGGAAATGGCGGAGCAGCTGGAGCCGGCAGCAACAATGGCAACGGCAACCAGCGCTCCGGCGGCAACTACAGGTAAGTCAAAGTCTAGCGTCCTCTAGCTACCAATTTAAATACCCATTTCCCCCCGACAGACAAAAGTTTCAGCAACAATCACACTATCGCCACAACGAGGAGACTGTCTACTTTCGCTCACACAACAACGCGTACCACCAGCCAAAACCCTATGTGCCAGGTGAGTGGGGATAGAGAGTAGCCAATCCTTCGAAGATACTAATTTCGCTATTGCAGCCGCCCAGCGGGGCAATGCCATGCACACCACCTTGCCACCGCAGGCGATTGTGCGAGCCTCGCCGCCCGGAATGGTCGTCAGTGCGGCCAGCTTCAATGGCCGGAATGCCGGGCTGGGCAATGCCGGCGGTGGCGGGATCATGGCCAATAGCATCGTGGCCACCACTGGCGGCGGCATCGGCGGCGCTGTGCCACACAATATGCGCTACCGTCCCGCTGCCCCCTATCAGTTTGTCAAGAAATAATACAGATGGGAGGATGCACCGCCCGCTGCCGTTCGCTGTTTGTTCAACTATTCCTCACCATCGTTGATGCCCATCTATCGTGCCCATCCAAACACCCACAACCATAATCACACCCTCACCCACACACAGCTCCAAAGGTAGATGTAGTAACTATGAGAACATTGGAAACTTGTCATGCATTGATTTCACCAAGATTTCGGCAGGGTGGAAACCAAAACGAAACGAATGAGTAAATGTATGTTTAAGAAAACTAGCCTAAGTAGACGAATGCTCCGTGGAACAGACGACCCAACCAAAACCAACTAACCGAACAGAGAAACACCCACCACCAATCAACAACCGCACTCCTCCTCCGAGGATTGAGTTTCAAGGATCTGAGACTTTGGAATCCGTGTGTTGGGCCCTGTGAGCATTTGGAAATGAAAGATCGAAGAAGGAGGCAGAGAATGGATGTATTCAGGGATGATCCCAGTCGAGCCAGATGTCCTTGTTTTGTTTTGTCGCATATTATTTACATTTTTACCTTACCACTGACGCATGCGAAGTTTACATCGATTTCTAATTTATATCAATTGAATATATATATCTCCCTTATGTTTACTCTTATACGTATCCTCCCCGCAGTCGCTTAATCCTATTGCTTTCTCCCACTCTGCGATTAAGTTTATCCTAATTTTTGTTTAATGCATTTTGTATTATGTTTACGTTTAGACGAGGAGGCTTTTTATTTTTATTTGTTACGTCGCCAGGACAGAAAAACCAACTGCAAACGATCACGATTAATATATATAACAAGTATATAGAAGCGGTATGATTTATTACACATAGTGCATATGCCACACCACACGATCACGCGCGCCTACGTATATTCAAAGCATCAGCATATTCACGTAAAACTTTAAAGTCTAAACTTTAAACCAAATGAACATTAGAGACGCAAACGAGAATCTACAACATAGATCGGCTACGATAATGCAAAACCACATCCGATCAGAGAAAGATAAGCAAACACATACATACATAATTGTTATTGTTGTTAAAAGCAACTAAAATTGTAATAGAAATTATGCAAATATACATACGAATATGACGACAAATGTTAATGGCAGCCTAGTTATTATTTTGTTCATTCAAAAACACACACCCCTTACACACACACCGGAACGAAACCTAAGATATAGTCGTATTTGCTGGAGACTGCAGCCTGTAGACCCGACTTGTATTGATTTCGGAACATTTGAAACTGCATGTAAACCCCACACACATATGTGAACGTACGAAACTATATATTTTACAGTGCATTATTATGTATTGCTGATTATCGTTAAATAAATTTCCAATTTGAATTCGCCAGACCAGTTATTCCAAATCGAAAGGAGGGTCAAGTGTCCGTGTTCCGAGTTTAACAAATCATATTTAACTTTATTGGCTAACGAATAAGGGACAATTCTACAAGGCCCTCACCAGCTGCATCAGCGAGTAGGGGTTCTTGTTGCTCATGAACTTGAGCTGCTCCTCGAATCCCTGCGGCGTCTTGTTGATCCAGTGCCGGTCCAGATAGTAGTTGATGTAGCTGTGGAACTCCTTGTCCGTGTAGTTCTCCACGTGGATGGGCACGAAGGGATCGAGGTGCTCGAAGCCCTCCTGGCCGAGCAGATAGCGCGGCATGTACGAGTCCATGTGGCCCTCGGTCATGGCGATCTTGTCCACCGACAGGATGCACACTCCGTTCGTCCAGTCGTAGTTGGTGATGTCGAGGAAGGGCTGGGTGAGCGTGATCCTGTCCGGAGTCACGCGCTGCTTGTTGTCGGAGAAGATGCGGGTAATCGGATGGAAGAAGGCGTTGTAGCCATCGATGGCCACCATCACCTTGCACTGGCCGGCGGTGGAGAGCTGTTTGAGCTCGGCAATCAGCGCCGCCGTGGTCTCCGAGGCGTACTTGATGCGAGCTATCCCGTGCTCGACCAGCTCGACGAGCGAGGATCCTGCCGGTGTGCTCTCGCGCTTGCTCCACACGTACTCCCTGCTGGTCTTCAGCTGCAGCCGCTGGAGCAGCTGGCCGTTCTGGGCCTTGAAGTGCACCAGCCAGGCGGCCGCATCGAAGGGCAGGTCAATCATGCCCTCCTGGCCGGCGGCATTGGACGCCTCCTTGGGCCGCTTCATCCAGTTGGGAGCCCAGGGCACGTGGACCAGCAGGAAGTCGTTGAGGGCGCCGTAGTGCAGCACATGGGCCATGGTCAGGGTCTTGCCGGTTCCGTTTTCGCCATACAGCACATACCGCACCACCGGCTTGGTCAGGTCGCTATCTTTGATGTACTGCAGCAGTTCCAGGGCAGGATTCCGGACCATCAGGCAGGCCTCGGTGAAGGTCTTGATCTGCTGCTCGTACTGCTTGGGCAGGCCGCCGCCGGCGAAGATCTGCTTCTTCTGCTCCGCGGGAATCGTGTAGAACTTGGCCACCTGCTGTGCCGAGTGCTCGCCGGGATTGGTGACCGCCGTCCGGAACTCGTTGACGGTGGCTCCCTCCGCCGGAGCCACCGCCGCACTCGTGGACATCTGCTGGACATGGCGCTGCAGCTGGGCGGAGACTCGCGACAAGTTGCCAAAGCGATTCCGGATCATTTTTATTTAGAAATCCTCGAATACTTGTTAAATAAGACCTGGGAAACGAAACCTGCGACCTGCTGGGCGGCTATCGATAACAAACCAGGGACGGCAGCCCAGGGAGCATTACAGAAAAATAATCGATAGTTGCGGGATATCCCAAATATTCAAATTACAAATGATTAGCTTTTTCCAATTATAAAATGATTAAAATCTAAATAAAGCCATTGTGATAAGAATATATTTACTTCACAACGTAAATGATTTAAAGAGATCAATAAGCAATTTAAAATGGTTTAGTCAAGTTTATTATCTATCTCATTTTTTAAGTCTCTAAGAATCCCTTCTCTATTTTATACTATACCAAAAACGTATTATAATTTTATATAATTTATATACTTAAATTATTATAAGGGTTATCCATAAATTGACTAACTTAAATTTTTTTATTTAATGAAAGTCTTCTTGTGATAAGTAGTGCACGTTCATGCTAGCGATTTCCTCCTCCAGCTCGAGAGGTAAATCCACCTCAAAACTTTGTCGAATTAACTTGCTTAACTCGTCCCTCTTGGTGCGTTTGAAAAATCCAAACTAAACAATACAAATCATTAATATAAAATAAAAATCCTTCTTTGTCTTTAATGATACGAACCTTGTAAAGAGCGTAGGTCATAGCACAAAGAAGGAGAAATCCACCGATTAGGGACCAAATTATGGTCCAGATGGGTAGTTTAGTCTTCAGGTGTCTGAATATAACATTTTGTTCAATTTTCCGGTGAATTACAAACGTACTGCTTGAGGGATCGCCTTTTTTGAGCAGCACTAAATCGGTCGTGATAACAAAGTACTCCCAGGATCCAACAACTTTAGTTAGATCTGCGTTAAAACTGATATTGAGGGTAATGGGTTTATCCGGCCTTAACTGGACGTTCATCCCCCCCCCCACCCACACCTTCATTTTAAAAAACCCCCAAAAAAAAAAAAAAGGGGGTAAAAAAAAAAAAAAAGGAGTTTTTAAAAAAACCTTTTTTTTTTGGTTTTCCTTCCTTTTTTTACCCCCCCCCCCTTTTTTGGGGGGGGGGGGGGAAAAAAAAAAATCAACCTCCTCCCCCCCCCCCCCCCCCTTAAATTAAAAATTCAAAATTTTTTTTTTTAAAAAAAAATAATTTTAAAAATAAAAAAAAAAAAAGAGAAAAAAGGAGGAGGCGGGGGTTCCCCCCTTTGAAAATAAAAAAAAAATAAAAAAAATTTTTAAAAAAAAAAAAAAAAAAAAAAAAAAAAATAAAAAAAATTATAAAAAAAAAAAAAAAATTAATGGGGTGGTTGTTTTTTTTCCTTATAAATTTAAAAATTTTAAAAAATTTTTTTTTTTTTTTTTATTAAAAAAAAATTTTTTTTTTTTTATTAAAAAAAAAAAAAAAAAAAATTTAAATTTATTAAAATTAAAAAAAATTAATAAAATTTAATAAATTAAACCAAAAAAATAAAAAATAAAAAAATTTAAATATTTTTTTTTTTTTTTTTTTTTTTTATTTATCTTCTTTTCCTCCCTAACCCCCAAAAAAAAAAAAAAAAAAAAACAAAAAAAAACAAAAAATAAGAAAAAAAAAAAAAAAAAAAAAAAAAAAAAAACAATCAAAATCCATTGGATATAATAAATAAAAAAAAAAAAAAAAAAAAAAAAAAATAAAAATAAAAAAAAAAAAAAAAAAGGAAAGAGGGGAAGGGAGGGAAAAAGAAATAAAGAAAAGAAGGGGGGGGGGGGGGTCTTTCCTATTTTGGAAATAAAAAAAAAAAAAAAAAAAAAAAAAAAAAAAAAAAAAAAAAAAAAAAAAAAAAAAAAAAAAAAAAAAAAAAAAAAAAAAAAAAAAAAAAAAAAAAACAAAAACAAAACCACAAAAAAAAAAAAAAAAAAAAAAAAAAAAAAAAAAACAAACAAAAAATAAAAAAAAAAAAAAAAAAAAAAAAAAAAAAAAAAAAAAAAAAAAACAGGTTTTGCAGAACTCTATGGGGGTGAACTCCTTTTTATAATTATATAATATGAAAAATTAAGATCTCACCCCCTGTTTGGGGAACCTTCTTCGCCAGCTCGTAGTGCATTTCCAGTTCGATGGGCGTGAATATGGACTTTCTGACCACCTGAATTTCGAAGGTTCTACATTGCTCGTCAAGACTCGCTTTCGCCTTGAAGATCCTCTCATTGCTCTGATTCTCGGTGAATTTAGCCCGCTTGTCCATGGTAATCCGGATATCAAGCTCCTGTTCGTGCAGATCCTTTACTTTGGTAAGGTGACTAAATCGGTAGCAGGCGGTGATCTGCACCTCCTCCTGATCCGGTTTGATATGACGCGATTCCGAATTGAATGCGGCATGTACTTTTACTATAGGATAGGAGCGATAGAGGTAGACGACCTCGGCATTGGGTGCTCCGATGGCAAAGTCGTTGAATCCATTGCCATCTATATCCGATCCGCGGGACATGCCGTGACCAAACATGTGCTCTCCGTCCTCGGAAAGTGACTGGGAAGGGGCATCCAGTCGCTGGCTGGGTTTATTCCGCAATCCATTTTCGCTTCCGAGATATATAAACACTGATCCGTTTCCGGCAAATGGAGCTCCCACGGCCACATCTGCAAAAAAAGGAGGGGAATTTCAGTTATTACACACAAAAAAAAAACTTAGTAAAATCAACTGTAATAATTGTCAAACAGGCCCCAACCAGCAAAATTGTCAATTCTACTAAGTAAATAGTCATTTCACAACAACAAAATACACACAATAAGCAAAGACACAAACCCAAAGCAAAAACAAAATACACGTAACTATTTTAATAGTTACGTAACAATCTTTGTTTGTCAATTTTACCAAGCAAATTTTTTTGTGTGTAGGGATATTTAAAAACAAAATTTAAAATTTCACAAAACAGCAAAATAACTCACCATTATATCCGTCATTATTGATATCGCCCAGTCGCGAAAGAGTTGTTCCAAATCGGGCCCTTCCTTCCGCTGGCGATGTCACAGTCGTCCGGTCAAATTTAAACTGCGATAAAAAGACGGCATTAACAACTAAGCTTTTGATTTGGAAATTGTTACTCACCGAACCCTTGTTAATAAAGACATAAATGACACCGTTGTCGCAAGAATTTCCCACATCATATAGGGGCGCTGATATAATGACGTCCGTCAGGCCGTCTCCGTTGAGATCTTCGGCCAAAACGGAGTATCCGAAATATTCGCCAAACTGTTGGCCACTCAAATTTTGTTTTTGGTTGAGAGATTCATGATCATCAAAAATGTAGGCTATTGAGGAATTAAAGCTGTCCCTGGGAGCGGTGGCCACGTAATAGAGAGTGGACAGGTTGTTGCTGTCAAAATATCCCGAGCTCACGGCATAGCCAAGGTACGAGTTTTCATTCAGGGTTTTCTTTCTGATAATTTCGTCTACGTTGTTCCTGTACAGGTTTACCGCTCCCTTCCAATTGTAGATGCCAGGAGCTCCGATCAGGAAGTCGGAGTTATCATCCGCCACATGGGCGCTGAGACCCATTTCACCCATATAGTAAAAGTATCACTCATAAAAATAATTTTCTACATTTTTGGATAAATCTGTCCTGAAAAATTTCGCCCTTGAACTGAGAAAAATTTTCTATTTTCACGACAATTTTGCCATAAATTCAAGGCAGATGACCATAAAAAAATATTTTTAGGGTTAATTTTTTCTATTTTTCTAATAATTAGGGCGATTTTTTCAATTTGCTTCGATTTGACCTTTTCTAAATCCAACGTCGAATTGCCCAAATTTTTTTCTAAAATTTATCTAAATACAAGGGCGATTCGCCTTAAAAATCACTCCACAAGTGTGAAATTCGGTAGCCCAGCGGTCTAATCACTTGCGCTTTCAACTTTCCTGATATGAGGCCTAAGGTCGTGGGAAAGTGCCTTCGAACCCTGTCTGATTTCATTACTTGGGATTTTTATTTTTTTTTTTTTGTAAACGTTATAATACTCAGGACAATTTTTCGTCCGAATTTTAAATTAAGGTAGTCTTTAAACCTTAAAAACGTATGGGAGTTCTGAGTTAAAAGCATCTTTCGTGTTTGCTGGCAAGAAAACGACACTAATTGTCACAATCGCTCCAGGAAAAAAAAATACGTTTTATTTCCCCCTTTAGTCAAAATATAACGTAGACCTCAAGAAATAAGATGTCTGCAGAGTTTAAGTTCGTGGTCTTGCGCGATGGGTCTGTGGTGCAGGTAGGACGCTACCCACTATAATGCTCGCAATGACAAAGTAAAGAAACATTAAGTTTTTTTCATATTTATTTCCTAATTGTTTACGATGATGATTCTAAAATAAATTGAAAACGGTGTAATCCGCCGGTGTTGTTTACATATAAAATGGAAAACTTCATGCGTATTTATAACATATCCGTTATTCAGGTATATCAAATACGTTATATTAATTTTCAATTAATGCATTTGCCTAAATATAAAACTCGAATCACTTTATCTCCTTATTTTTAATGCAAATCACCCTAAAAAGAAAATATTTTTATTTCAAGCACAATACCCTAATTGAACCAATGTTCCATGGTTTATTTTTGACGCTAAACTTTATCCAACGTAATGATGATAACAGCTTGAAATCATGAAACTTACCTCTGAGTACGAATAACGAGCGTGAATCCAAAGTAGGAGCTCCGTGTACCTGATTTAAATGATCTGTCGTATTCAGCTTTGAGGGAGAGTCCTTATTACTAGGTTGGGATTCGGAGTGTGGTGAAATTATCAGTTGAAAGCTTCTTTAACTTTTGTCTGTTTGGAACTAAACGGGGGCCACAAAATATCGAGAAAAACCAGGAGGCGCATATTTTTGTACCTGTAAATTTAAATATATATAATACTTTATTAATAGTCTTTTCTTTGAAATGGTAAATTACTGCAAAGTTTTTAAGGGAGATATCGCTCCGGCACGGAATATAAGGGGTTGTCACTCTGCAAACACTGCGAATGACAAATAAAAAACATTGAGAAGTTTATATTTAGTGTACTTGTGACTGTCAAAATAAATTAAAAACTTCATGGGTTTATTCCATACAAAATAAATCTTTACTTCCTATTTTAGCAGCCTGGTTATCTGGAATAAATCCGCATGTTACATGCATTTCTAAGTTAAACTGAATCATCTTTTTTAAGGCATAAAGCATTTCTCTTATTCAGAACTGTTACTGTTATATTTTTTTCATCTATTCTTTGATCCGACGTACTCAAGTTATTAACAGCTTTAAATCATGAAGAGTACGCTATGAGTCCGTAACGTCAACTATCAAATTAGGACTCCGTTTAAATGACTCTTCAGCTTTGGGGGATTATTACTAGGTATGAAACCTTGAAAATTGAAGCTTCGACTTGGTATTGAAGGATCCAGAATTTGAGAAAAAAGGTCTTTTCTCTTCGATATGTAATTATTAAATATAATTAATACTTTATTAATAGCCCTTTTTAATAAAATCAGGGCTTAAAAGATGTGACCGCCAGATAGGTTGTCACTCTGCAAACACTCGAATGAAAATAAAATGAGAAGTTTCAAAGTACTTGGACTTCATTATTTCATTTTATTCCATACGAATTATATTTACTTCCTATGCAGCCTGGTTTCTGGACCCCCAAGTTAATTTTTAAAGTACTGATAAAGGCTTAAGCATTTCTCTTATTCAGAACTTTTATATCTTTTTCATTTCTTTGATGACGTACTCAAGGTTATTAACAGTTTAAACTATAGTCGGGTGTCACGATGAGCAAAAAAGTCTTCTACTTTTTAATATTGCATTTATAAATTTTTAAAATCGGACAGATGTGCAGACGGACGACGACTTTAAAACCGTTTAAGGCGATTGTGGGCGTTAGGGGAGGCGTGGCAACTCGATGCGAAGGAAGGCCAAGAATCTACCTTATTAATATCAAATTTTTAGCTTTTATAGTTCCCGAGATCTCAGCGTTCATCCAGACAGACAGACATGGCTATATGGACTCGGCTAGTGATCCTGATTTTACTCTACGAGTAACGGGTGTAAAAATGATGTGCGATTGTCTTGTCTAGTTAATTTCTAAAGCATTTTTTTCAAGATACTTATTTACAATTTATCTGTGGAACAAAATATAATTTTTAATATTTTTTGTTTAGTAGTTATAATTTCCGCGCTTTCGGCACAAAAACCTCTCGATCTCAGAATGAACTAAGTAATTTTAAAAACTAACAGGAATCGAAAACCCCGGATTAAAGTAGCTAGAAAATAGCCAACAATCGATAAATTTCGATAAGTTATTCTTTGCGTCTCTCCATCCCTGGCAGCAGCCCGGCAAATTTGCGGCTTTGGTGAAATTAGAAATTATAGGAATTACTTGGTCCTTGTATTGTTGAAGCCCCGACATGTCATCCATTGACAAGTTGTCCATCCAGGGAGTCCGGAGTTTCGGCTCCAATGCCGAGGATCTTCAGGTAAGTGCTGCGCGGAAATACATGTAAATCTTTTGAATACTACGCATTTCGCAGAGCATTACGTTTTCATCGCCGGTCACCCTGATTCTGGGCGAGAATGGATGCGGAAAGACGACCGTGATAGAGTGCCTGAAGTACGCCTTGACCGGTGAGTGTCCGCCCGGGAGTGACCGCGGCAAGAGCTTCGTCCACGACCCCAAGATCTTTGGGCTGAACGAATCGCTAGCGCAGATCAAGATGCAGGTGCGCGACAAGCGTGGCGCCCAGGTGTCCATCTGCCGCACCATGAAGGTGTCCAACAAGCGCAACAAGGTCTCCTTCGAGACGATGGACTCCACCATCAACTTCCTGACCGGCGCCGGGCAGACGAAGCGCGAGAATCAGGACTCCCTGAGCGGGCGCACCGCGGACATCGATGTGGCCATCTCGGACTTCATGGGCGTCTCGAAGGCTATCATCAACAATGTGCTGTTCTGCCACCAGGAGGACTCCAGTTGGCCGCTGGACGAGGCAAAGAAGCTGAAGGAGAAGTTCGACGCCATATTCGGAATCACCGAGTACAATAAGGCTTTGGATAAAATCATAAAGCTTCGTAAGGAAGCTATGGAGGAACTGAAGGTGATGGGTAAGTCAGGCACATCTCATGATAGTCAAACTTTGGTTTCAATGCTCTTGGGTTTCCCTCCCCAGACGCCAACATGAAGCATGTGGCTTATCTCAAGGAGGAAATGGAGGTTAAAACTCTGAACCTGCAGAAGGCCCAGCAAAAGTACGACACCATCAAGGCGCAGGTCACCGAATGCGAGGAGGAAATGAAGCCCATTGATGCCAGGCTGGTGGAAATCCGGAACGTGGAGTTCGAAATTGGAAAATATCAAGCCCAAAAGGTTGAAATGGACACCAAGTAAGTTTGTATCATCTGTATTTCTCTATAAAGCAACTAACATATACCTCCTTGCCAGGCACAAAAACTGCAAGGAGCAGATCTCAACCCTTACGCGGAAGATCAAGAGTCCTTTCAAAGGTTCTCTGGCTGAGTTGGAGCAAGAGATCAACAACTTCGATCAGCGCATGTCGGAAATGCAGCAACAGCGCACAGAAGCGGAAAGGGATCTATCCCAGCTTAAGAAAACCAGTGCAAGTGAACAGGAAAAGTTGAGCACACAGGATAAGAAGCATTGCCTGGCCAAGCAACGTCACCAAAGCGAGAAGAATTGTCGGTCACAGCTTCTAAAGCGGGTCAAGGACTTCTGCCTCGCACTACAGATCCCTATTGGTGGTGATCTCGCTGAGGAGCCCGAGAAGCTCGAGGAAGTGCTGCAGGAGATCGAGGCGACTATTCTAGGCAAGCACTGCGAGATCACAGAGATTGTCGAGCAGAACGACAAGGCCGATCGGGGCAGGCAGGCCAAGATCGACGAGCTGCGAATTGAGCTAACCAAGTCGGAGCAAAGCGTGACAGCGCAAGAGAAGCAAAAGGAGACCAGCAAGCGCGAAAGTGAAACCCTTGCAGTTGATATAAAGAAAATTGAAACATCCATGCAGGAATTGAAAAAGCTGGAGAAAGAAATAGCCGATGTAAACGAGCTGTACGAGAGCGCTACAAAAGGTCTGGACCAGCAGGCGATGAAAGAAGTAATCGCCAGTAAGAAATCCAGTATTGCCGAGAAGCAGACTCTGTTCAAGAAGCTGGACGAACAGTTGACTTTCTTGGGCTCCATGGCCAAGCTGGTGGCCGAGATCAGTCTCAAGCAGAAGGAGCTCGAAAAGAAGAACCAGGAAGTGCATCGCGTGCGCAGCCGACACGCAGACAACTTTGGGAAATTCTTCAAGGAACCTATTAACAGCAATTACCGCCGATCGGTGCAGGGAGCCTACGATAAACTTCGACGCGAGATCCAGGAGCTCAACGAAAAGGCCAACTCGCAAAAGCTAAAAGAGCAGTCGTACGAGATCAAGCGTAAGAACCTCATCGGTGAGATATCTCGCATGGAGAAGGAGCTCAAGGAGAGCGAGGAGTTGATATTTCAAAAGTGTCGATCCACTCCGTACGATGATCTGCTGGAGCGGAGCAAGACGGCCATATCCAAGCTGCAGTTCGAGCATGGCGCCCTTAAATCTTCAGAGACCCTTTACAAGAAGTGAGTTTGGGAAAATCCCCTTTAGATATTAAACTTTAATTCAATCCATTGCTAGGTACATCCAAAAAATCGATGAAGAACCGTGTTGTCCCTTGTGCCATCACAATATGTCTGGCGATGAGGCATGCGATTTGACCAGCGAGCTAACCGATGAGATCCAAAAGTTGCCCGATAATATCAGCAGAGCTGAGAAAGCACTGAAGGCGGAGCAAATAAAATATGAGAACCTACTGCAGATCAGACCCAACATTCTTAGGGTCAAGGAACTGAAGGAGACATTGCCTCAGAAAAAGGAGGAACTAAAAAAAGTGGAGGAGCTGCTGGGGGAGAGCGTCAGCGAGTATGAAACGTTGCTCGCTTTGATTGGCGAGCCTACACAGAATATGGAGTTGGCGAATTCCATGATGGGTGACATGACCCTATTAGACGAGGCTTTGAAAGACTCGCTGCGACTTACAAAAGATCTGGATCAGCAAAAGGTTGGTATAGCAATTTTACTTAAATTGGTAGGTTCACTAATTGTTATTATGTTTTAGGCCAAGTTACCTGCTTCCTATGATTCGAGCGTCTCGATGGATGCTTTGCAGGCGGAGAAGAGCCAGGTTTCCAAGGAGTTGGATGCAGAACGCAAGGAGTTAGACTCCACTCAGAATACATTCCAACAGCAAATGGATGCCCTTAATCGTTTGCGCGAAAAAAAGAATAGGTAATGTAAATAAGAAAATAAATATATTCCCCGAAAATAACATTTGATTTTTTTAGCTTGAAAGATAGGCAAATACACCTCCAGGAAGGTCTACAAAGTTTGCCCCAGTTAAAGGAGCGTTTTGAGAAGCTCAAAACTTTTCTTACCACCGTCACTATTGAAATAAGTGAACTAAAGGCCAAAATTCAGCCTTTAAAGGAGAATTTAAGGAAAGCTATAGACGAAAAAGAGCGTTTGAAGGAGAGTGAGAGGGCGAAGGTGGCTCAGCTGAATTCCAAATATAATTCCTACAAAAGCACAGATCAGGACATACAAAGGTGGGTGAAACAAGTCCTTCCAATTTCTTTACATATGTCTGTTTTTTCTACTTCCTATTTAGATTGAACAAAGAAGCTCAGGACTACGCGAAATTAAATCTTCAAAATGAAATCAAGAAACTTGATGAAGTTATAACAGCAACCAAAGATCAGCTGAGGAAACTGGCAAGTATTTCCACTTACATTGTAAAATTATAAACTTTATTCTTATTGTGTTGACAGGAAATCGAAATATCTTTAAAAACTGATGAATTGGAGACAATTAAAACTGAGTGTCTCAACCAGCAGACCGTAGAACGAGATCTGAAAGACAATCGCGAGTTGAAACAGCTACAGGATAAAGAATCAAAACTGAGAGAAAGCTGCCAGGCGCTAGACAAGCAGCTAGGTAACCTGGATTTCCACAGCCTCAGCAAGGAGAAGGTGGACCTGAATAAACGATATGATAATGCCAGAGATCGTAAGGGCAAGCTGCTGGGCCAGCAGGGCGAGATTAATAACCAGGTGGACAAGTTGAAGAAAGAAATAGACGAGCCCAAATTTAAGAATTCCCTTAAAAACTTCCGAAAGGCCAATTACGAGCTGATGGTAACTCGTCTGAGCATCGAGGACTTGGGCCAACATCGTTTAGCCTTGGAATGGGCCCTGATTCAGTTCCATGCGGAGAAGATGGAGAAGATAAACCGGCTGATACGCGAGTATTGGCGGATGATATATCGCGGTAATGACATTGACTATATTCAGGTGAAGACCGATGAGGTTAGTACGGATGCTTCGGCGGACCGGCGAAAGACCTACAACTACAGAGTGGTCCAGTCGAAGAACAACAGTGAGATCGAGATGCGAGGACGCTGCAGTGCTGGCCAGCGCGTCCTGGCCTGCCTCATCATCCGCTTGGCACTGGCCGAGACGTTTAGCAGTAATTGTGGTGTGCTAGCTTTAGATGAGCCCACCACGAACTTGGATCGCGCCAATATAACCTCGCTATGCGATGCCCTAAACTGCATCGTGGAGGAGCGCCAGAGTCAGTCGAACTTTATGCTCATCATCATCACACACGACGAGAATTTCATCTCGTCGCTGGGCAAGATAACCACCTACCACCGGGTCTTCCGCAACGATGAGTGCAAATCGGTTATACGGAAAGTGCAGGTTGGCTGAGGTGGTCGGTCTATCAAAGAAGGTTTTAATACATCAATAAAAAGTATCACATTTGTTATCAATCTATGTATGTTTGCTTGTCTAGTCATCGAATCAATTAGTGAGAGAGCCTACACACAAAAAAATTTGCTTGGTAAAATTGACAAACAAAGATTGTTACGTAACTATTAAAATAGTTACGTGTATTTTGTTTTTGCTTTGGGTTTGTGTCTTTGCTTATTGTGTGTATTTTGTTGTTGTGAAATGACTATTTACTTAGTAGAATTGACAATTTTGCTGGTTGGGGCCTGTTTGACAATTATTACAGTTGATTTTACTAAGTTTTTTTTTTGTGTGTAGTTTCCGCACAGGTGTGGTCGCGAAGAATGATGGGTTTAGTCTCTAGAAATGCTCAATATGTGTGGTCTATTGCTTCTGGCAATCCTTTCTTCTGCGGAAGTTATGTGCTACTCCATTCAATTTGGCACTATGCACCCCCTAGCCGTTGCTATTTATGAATTTGAAGTATTTGCTAAACATTCTGGTGACTACGTTGATGTGGACTTTAAACAAAAGGTATTTTTAATTTAATTTATTTTTAGATGATTTTTTAGGCATTTTTCTATTTAGGCTAACGTGTGTTTCCACATTAACCTGATTTTGGTCATCGATGAAAGTCAAATGGAATGGAAAGGTCAGGCACTCATTCTCACTGGCGGAATTGGTTACAACTTTACAACCTTAAGATTAAAATATATCCAGCCAGAGGTGGCGAGAGTCACGGTTCTCATCTACGGGCTTCCCAGGTAGGAGCTGTATTGCACGTATATACTATATATTTTAAATGCTAATCAGTCTTAGTCTTTTCTGTTCTTAGTGGCACTCCAGTGGTATCCGTCATCCGGCAGATCGCTGCGAATGAGTGGCGATAGCCAGGCTATGTGCATGCGATCTCCAAAAACACTCCTCAGATTCTGGTAGACTCCTCTGTCGTACTTAAGCTTACTCTCCTTTGTGCGATCGGCGGAAACCCCGCCTCTCAAAACGATGGGCACATGGTAACCCAGGAGAAGGACCCCGTAGGCCAAGGCTAAAACATTTAGGCTGTAGAACAGCAGGTACATGTTGCCCCAGAAACTGCCCGTTACCAGGAGCAGCATGGGGCAGGTGAGCTTCAGCACCGTTAGCCAGTTGCAAAAGACGTGCCCCTGGATGATCCACATGTATATGGAGTTGTAGACCAGGGCGTAAACAGATCCCACAAATAGGTAGAAGATGAAGCCCATGAAGAAGCGATGGTTTCGGAGTCCAATGCAGCAACCGGTGTAGAGGCAGTGGTGATCCCGCTTCAGTACGCAGACCTTGCAGATCTTGCAGTGCCATGATCTGGGCGGAGCTAGGGTCTTGCATTCGCTGCACTGCCTCCAGTCCACCTGATCCGTTGGTGGTTCCACTTTTTTCACTAGAAAAGGTTCATACAATATATTATACTCCATTTAAAGTGTTAGCTCTCACCCACCATCCACACTGGTATCGATCATCATGCAGGCAATCATATTTCCCTTGATATTAAACACCAGAAACATGGCCATCAGGAAGGTAAAGGTGTGAAAGAAGCCGCCGGGCTCATGGAAGGCGGGCAGCACCACCACAATCTCGAAGAGGAACACCACGGGCAGAAAGACTCCGATGATCAGGAAGCACAAGACATCCACCAGCCGGCGGGGCAGCGGATTGCTACGGATTCTCATGATCTCTGTGACTAGGGTAAACAAATGGGAACCGATCGCCAGAGGCCAGAAAGAGAACTAACTAACTAACCGGTTCGCTATGTCATCACGTGCGGTGGAGCTTTCTTTATCAAGCTCCAGTTTAGTGACAAAAAGCTAATGGGTCCAAAACGCAAAGCTCCAATGTTTAAGTTTTGGGGCGAAAGTTTACGTTGCATATAATTCAATGAAATATCTTGAGCCCCCCAAGTTCAATATAATTTGATAAAGTCCAAAGCTAACTTAATTAAAATTTGAAATCAAGCGCACGGCAGCGTAAAAAATGTGGCAATGCGCAGGGCACTGCACTTATCCTATCAAGATGGGCCACACGTCGTATGCTCGATGGCCTGTAACATGCATATATAAATGCCAGCGGCAAAGGCAACATCGAGAATTTAATTAACTTGAAAGGATTCACTCCGTCACAAATCACTGTAATCAAGGTAAAGCCTTAATTACATGGGTCTTTAATACGTGTGCTGACATCTGATTGATTGCACTATCAAGTATTTATGGAGGTGTCAAGGGGCATTGAGTAAACAGTTGAAAATGGAGCTGTCGGTGTCAACGAGGCCAGAAAGGCAAGGATCCTCGGTGTTTCTGTTCAAGAGCTTTGCCAGGAGTCTGCAGCAATTCCTCAATCAGACTAGTCTGCATGGCCTTAAATTTGTGGGGGATTCCAGTCTCAGCAGTTGGGAGAGGTATTTATTATATAAAACTATTTATATGAACATCTCTATCCGACCTATTTCAGATCATTTTTCTTTGGCTCCTTTGTGACCGCTCTCATAATCACAGTCCATCTTATATCGAATATCTATGTCAAGTGGGATAGCACTCCGGTAATAATTGGAATCAGCCCCCATGCCACTTCCATTTTAAAAGTACCCTTTCCGGCTATTACCATTTGCAATATGAACCAAGTGCAAAGGAGTCAGGTGGCCAATTACAGGGAGTGAGTTTTGTATTCTATTAATGTAGGCACACATCAATCATATTGAAATTAAATTATTTTCCTAGGGGCTCCAACGAGAGCGCTCTTTTAAAGCTTTTGTGCGACTCGGATAGCTGGCAATCCAATGAGTTTGACGAAGAGCTGGCTGCTTTCAACTTCGCCAGAAATAACATGAGGATTTCCGACTTTGTCTCGAATCATTCGCAGTCCTGCGAGAGAATGCTGCTTTTCTGTAGATTCAGTGCCGTGGAGCGAAACTGCTCGCATTTGTTTCAGCGGATTCTGACAGATGAGGGACTGTGCTGCGTCTTTAACTTCGAGCCGCCTGAATATCTCTACAAGCCATCGTAAATATGGGATTTCTAGTTCTAAATATATTTTAATGTTTTGGTTAAAACAGTGCGAATAGCCGTCGGAACTTGACGAATGCAGATGGTTTTGAAAGTGTTAAGTGGGATCCGGAGGCGGGATATCCTGAAAAACTGCCCCCCAAATTTTATCCGGCTACATCAAGTGGTAGGAAAATGATTTAACAAAAGGTGGTACAAATGTTAAGAAATATATTTTAGGAACTGGTATCACTTTGGGATTTACTGCCATACTAGATGCTCAGATGAGTGAATATTACTGTTCTTCGACAAACGGACCTGGTTTTAAGGTATATATTTATATATATAACTTATGACTGGCCGATATTAACGCCTTTTGTTTGCAGGTCTATTTCCACAATCCCGTCGAGGTGCCCATGGTGAAGGAGGCTGGTCTGATTACAGCCATTGGCTATGAGACCAATTTCCGCATCGAGATGGTTCGAGCCGAGGCTGTTCCGGCCATTCGTTCGATATCCCGCGACGGCCGGCAGTGTCTGTTCAACAACGAGAAGGAGCTGATCTTTTATAGGATATATACAAGGCTCAACTGCGAGAACGAGTGTCTGGCCGCCTACCTGTACGACACCTGCTCCTGCATCCCGTACGATTATCCGCAGATCTACAGCAACGCCACCACCTGCAGCATGCGGGACACGTTCTGTGTGCGCCGGGCCCAGAGAGCCGAAAACCGTCCGGGTTGGGTAAAGTGCCGCAAACAGTGCCTGCCCAGCTGCTTCGATCTGAATTACTTGGCCAGTGCCTTCGCCTTTCCCCTGGCCTCCAACAACTTTCAGCTGGCCAACGCGCTGGTGGAGAGCATGAACAAATCCTATCTCAGCGAGAATATAGCTGTGATCAATGTTTATTTTCGGGAGTCTGTCTACTATGGAAACACCAAGAATGCCTACGTGGGATTGACTGAGTTTCTATGTGAGTATATGAGGATGTCCAAAATAGTAAATAGTTTATCTAAATATATCTATACATAAAAATATTTGAGATGCTTAGGTTAAGTTTAGCACTAGAATGATTAATTTATTTACTTAATATATTAAGGACTAATGTTACTTCTAATTCTTTTCCATTCCAGCCAATGTCGGTGGTGTAATGGGTCTTTTCATGGGTTTCAGCGTTATCTCCCTGGCGGAGATCCTATACTTTTTGATCCTAAAACCCCTTGCCGAACTTTTCGTATGGAAGAGGTCAGCCCTTGTAGACTCAGAAAAAAGCCTTAAACATAATGCCTTCGCCATTGAACAACCCAATACTCCAGATAACTCTACTTTATGGCATACAAAAGAACTGTACCCCAAGGGCATATCATTAAGAGCATACGAAAGAGGTAGAAAAATGTAAAATGTGCTTTTCACACAATTTTTTGAAGCATTAAATTTCACAGAAAAGATATGATTTATATTTAATCACAAAGTACAAATACACATGTAAACTGCCATGTCATGCACATCATTGCGTGACCAGTAATAAAATAAAATGGGAAACGTAAGTTTTTCAGACAAAAAAAAGCGGAATAATTGATTTATAACATGAACTGAAACCCGATGCATATTTAAATAATTCATTGGGAACAAAAACATTCCAAATGGTGAGTTAAACAATGAAATGTTGGTGCTTGATGTAATAAATCGATTAGTCTTTTATTTAAACACGCTTACATCCTTTTGCTTTACTTGTGTGCGGATTAACTTAAATCAAGAAAATAAAGCTATACTACCCAAAGGCGTCGACTATGAAATATGCGGTATTCATTTCTTTACAAAAATATCCACATTTAAGAAAATTAATGGCTCTTAATAATAACACATAATAATTTTAAGTTTTTTTATTATTAAATATTTTTAAATAAGATATCTTTTATGTGGAAATCTTTGGGATATCATCTTTAAATATAATTTAATTAAATACTGGTCTGACTTTCAACTTATTCAAAGGCCAGGAAATGTGAAAGTGAGTTATCGTGCGGTGTTAATGGCCCGATTAAATTTCAAGAGAAAGGTAAACTTTTTGATTCAGTTAAACGGTCTTAAAGTGGAAAGTTTGATATGTACATACGCATACGCACTCCTTTAATGCGCACCTCCAACTTTTCCCCAGAGACTCTGTGCCAAAGGAACTCTGGCAGCTGGAACAGATGTGCCCCGAATGAAGGTCGGTAATAGAATACCCTGGCGACTAATGCAATTAACCAAGTTTCCCGGTTAAAGGGCCAGCCCTTGCGTTAGTTTTTGTGTACTCCCCGCTCATTTATGCCATATATTTTATGCCAATAAGAGCATTTGGGCCGAAATTACTTTTGGCCAAGGCAGCCAGGCCGTGCTTTAACTCGAGTATACAGATGTACGTAGGTACTACTACATTGTATGTGTTCTCCGGCAGTAAAACAAGAATAGCTCTTCGCTCCTTGCTCACCCTCATCCCTTGGCTTTTGAAGATGGCACATTTCTGCGTCGTCTTGCACTTCTGGCGGAAATTCCTTTGCCCGGTACATGCTCCGGTTTCTGAGCGTTAATTGCTGACCTCAACCTGCACATAAAGCGACTAATTTTCGCACGGCCCCACTGCAGCTCGTCCTGCATAGCTGCATGAATTCAGCGGCACAGTTTCCCTCCACCCTGCTGCCTCATCCTCCATCATCCACCATCTTAAACCCCCCGGAGGAGGGAGGAGGCATCCTGCCTAAGCAACAAAAACGGAATGAAATGCATTCGCACAGTTGAAGACAATTTGCGAAATTGCATCGCTCTTGATGTTTTCACGTGCATTCCATCTGGTGTTTTTACGGCAAGTCAACAATGTGCTGCTGGTCCGGTGGCACAGTGCGTGCCATGGCCATAGGTCCTGCGAATCATAGATTTTATATTTGAGAAAATTTAATAAAATCCAAAATCCAATGGAATTCGTTTATCAAATAAACGTTGTTTGCCTTCTGAACCGTTGTTTATCTACGTCAGCTTATGAGATTATCTTTTGCCAACATTTATTTGCTTACAAATGTCCGACAATTTCGAAATGCACTGTTGGGGGCGGAGGATGGTCGGGGGCGGGGCGGTGGTCTTTGAGGATTGGGGTTGCCATCTAAAACCGAGTACAAAAAGCTTTGCGCTCGACCATCTTTCAAGCGATAAGACAACTGGTGCAAATGATTACGACGTGTTCCCTGCCACACTGTACATCTAAAGTCGGGGAGGACCTCTCGGCCCTCTCGGAGATGTAATAGGACAACCCCAGCCAGGAGCTTCGTAAATGTCAAGAGCAGAACTAGATTCAATTCTTTATGGCCGTGTTAACGAGCCAATTCTCCCCTGGATGCTAGCAAACTTTGGCACTGAATGAAAAATTATGCTATTAAAACCGCTTGAGAGCGAACCACAAATAATCCTTAAAGCCGGGCACTGGCTTGGATTTTCAGGCAAAAGTTGAAACCATGTGGGTAAAAGGAACAAGAACCCTTCGCACACGAGTAATTAACAGCAAATTTTCTGCCAAAAGTTATCAAGTTGACAATAAAGTTTTCCCACTAACTCTATCTTTCCTCGAGGCGCAGCCACCTGATTAAGGTATAAATATTTGATTCTAGTGTGGGCTGATGGGCCGTTGGGCTATTGGGATGAAGGGTTTCCAAGGCATTGTCAACTTTATGGGCTTCCGCATCCTGTCGCACCCGAATCAGTTATGCATAAAGTGTATTCGTCAAAACGTAGACTCGAAAACGTCTGCGTAAATGCTGCACGTGCGCCGAGTTGAAGGATGAATTGGTGGCAATACTATATATATACAAGATATACATCCAGATGCAGGCGGAGGAAACCATTCGATCAAATGCCGAGGAAGCTCTACAAAATTACACACTCACCCCGGAGAGCGAGAAGTTGCATGCGGAAAAGCAATTAAAACTTCTTGTCAGTGTCTCGGAAGTGTTTGTTCATATTTTATGATGTTTTCGTGTAGAAAGCTGGATTATGAATGTGTCACCAAGAAGTGCTGATTCTCACCCCCCGCTTCATTCACTCCATCTCGCAACCCCTTCTGTGCATGCAACAAGCCGTCATTGAGGTTGAAAGAGTAATGTATAAAATATCACACATCCGCCCCATTGGACGGACATTGCACAGTGGATGAACAGAGGACCGAGCGAAGGCCAAACTATGGCAGCTTTGTGGCAAAACGGAAATGGTAAACAAAACTTTAAACTTTCGAGCTGACCTTTATATTGGCCAGTATTTGATTGCATAAATTATGGCATGTTAAATTGGGTCTTCGAATGGAATATGGAATATGGCATTTGAGAAATAGGAAGACTGCCGTTTTGCCCCGCAACGCTTAAGTGCATCGATATGTTCTCAAAGCATTCTGACGTCTGGCACTTTGAAAGCCACATTTTGCCCCGCAACGCGCCACGTCTGTTATAATATTTCGGCTAATGGAACCCTCCAGCGATGGCTGCTGCCGCCATAATGGCAATCACCTATGTGTATCCCATATCACACACTCCTCATATTTGACGGTCTGCCGGCGGCGGTGCTAAAAACTGGATGCAAATATGCAAATTTGGGTGCCTCACCCACCTGCCTAATGCACCAAAATGCATTCGAAATTGGGTAATTTTACACATGCACACGCCGCAGGCGACATTCTGGGCTTAAAAATGCATTTTGGCTTTTGGATTGGACAGATAGAATTCATGGCAACAAACAGTGAGCAGTGGGTGTTTCAGTGGATGTTTCAGTGGGCGAGTGCTGAATGTTTGAGTGGGTGGGATAAGCCCGACAGGCTGAATAATCAGGACCATCAATCAGGACTCCGAGCCCTGCACACCTCATTAGGCTAATCGTACAATTGCGCACGGCCGGACACACACAAAAACATGGGTTAAGGCGGGCATTCCAAACCCAAGGGCTCTGTGCGGGGTCGGGTTTAACCGCACCGCAATTTGCCCTCATGCGCTAAACAATATTTCATTTTTAAGAGTTGACTTTTCACGCTTGCCGACAGGAGGCTTAACATTTTAAATCCATTGTGCCGCCGCCACCACAAGGACTTTTCAACTTTGTCTCTTACTTTATTAATGCGCACAAAGTACGCCTTTGTGCATTTTTAATCGGCGGCCTGGGCAGGCCTATATCTAAATGTACTCACTTTGTAATTATATTCGCAAAAAATATGGCACGTAAGATTTTTGGAAAACACGGAAATCGCCAAATGTTTTGTTTTGAATCCAAAATGTGTTCCCAGTGTTTTTGGGATGCATCCAGTGCGCAGAATCCCCGAAAAGGGGGACAGCATCCACAGCTAAACCAACATCAGCTTCAGTCCTCCACAGATGGTCGGGCATAACGGTTGAGCTGCGGCCCCCTCTTTGGGGCTAAAATGCCTAAAGACCGAAATGAAAACAACGAAAATATGATAAATTAAATTAGGCCTAATGCTCTATACAAATTGATATTGCAACAATGCCATTCAATTATTTATTTCTAGCGTCCGTTGACACACGTCACTCATACGCACTGTTGTCCATTGTAAAGAAATATGTTTTAATTTACCAGCACAATTGGTTCTAATTGATCTATGAATTTCTATTTAAAAAGCCTTTTATCCCTCTTGTCAAAAATGACTCACGCAGAAAAATGTTAAGAACTAAATGTCATTGAATATAGGCAAAATATTGCCTTTTTAATTTAGTTTTTCATTAAAGCTTGAAAATTTATATTTAATTTGTGTTTTCTAAAACATTAATATTGTCAAAATATCGAAAATATCGATAAGTTTCGAGCTCTATTTTTCATACAAAATAAAAAAGACAATTGCTTAATTTTAATGCAGAACCCATATTATAGGGTATCAAAAAATAAGACAAATATAAATTGTTAAAAATAATAATTTCAGTTCAGGGCTATCATATCAAACTATAATATTTATTCCTGTTAAAACCAATTATCTTAATATTCGTAGAATATGCTCAACAAACTGATTGAATTGAGATTATTTTGATAAAAAGCAATTGACTTGCATAAATTGAAAAGAATTTTTCGCAGAATTTTTTCCCCGAGTGCAGTTGCTATCGAACCAAAATGAAAATTGTCGGTGGTGTTGCAATAAAAGCCGTTGGGCTGTCAAATGTGTGTGACAGTGTGCAAATTGATAAATTTTCAATTTATTTAATAACCGTATTGATGAACCTGGCCCATCTAATATGCATATAATTTTCGCATTCATTTTGAATTTGATTCAACTAAGAGCTAATTAAACGACTGGCGTAAAACACATAAAGTTGAGCTGCAAATAAATCGCTGGCCATTCATTTTCCCGACTCCTGTTTGTTCTCTGTGTGTTCGGAAAAG